TAAATGGAAAATAGTGAATGATGCTTATTCATACATATTGCTTAGTGTTATTATTAGTACATAATTCTATAGTCAATTAAAAAATTATTCTTTTTAGGTAAACCGGATAACAGAAAGGCCCTGTGTGAAATAAGTTCTGTCGTACACAAGAGAATTAACTTTCTAAGAAAATATTCTAAATTTAAAGAAGAAGGGGCGAATTTTATATATTTAGACGAAACATGGATATTTTCTAGGGGTCCAACCAAGAGAATATGGCAAGATGATAACGTAAAGTCCATCAAACATACCGATGGAGAAGGGAAGCGACACATAATTTTACATGCAGGAGGGAAATCGGGTTTTATAGAAGGTGCTGATTTAATATTTTCATCTAAATCAAAATCCAGTGACTATCACGATAATATGAACACAGAAATGTTTGTAAAATGGTTGCATGAAAAACTTCTCCCAGGTTTAAGTGAGCCCAGCGTAATTATTTTAGACAATTCACCTTACCATTCTGAAGTATTAAACAAAATTCTTGGGCTGTTGATAAAATTAAAGAATGGTTGACAAAGGAACATATACAATTTCCTCAATATATATTAAATTCAGAATTATTACGTTTGGTAAATAAACACGCAAAACCAAAAACCTTTGTTGTGGATCAGATTATTGAAAGTTACGGTCATCAAGTTTTACGTCGGCCACCGTGTCATTGCCAGTTTAATCCCATCGAATATATATGGAGAATAGCAAAACAATATTATGACAACCATATTGGGCCTAATGGTTATAGTGACGACGCAGTTCAGGAAACTTGGTGAAAAGCACTTTCATTTGCAACTCCAGAAGTGTGGCGGAACTGTATATCCAAGTGCGAGAAACTAACAGAAGATTGGTGGACTCGTGAAAATAAAATAAACGAAATAAGTCCAATCATAATAACAATTAATGGTGATGACAGTGATGATGATGACGATTATGATATTTTGGATGATAATGACTGATTTTCATTTTTGTTGGTAAGTTCAATTTTTTTATTTTTCATTTGAAATTCTCTACGTGGAACTAATTTTTATGTTAGAAAATATTTTATTTGAGCTCTTATTATACATAGACCATATTTTCTGTGTGAAGTGTAATATAAAATTATTATTAGGTTTATAATAGCCACATTAGACTAGATTATTATTTAATTAAAAAGTTGTACATTATTTTTCATTTCATTTAACCCACTGATATTTCCCCAAAGAACAGGTCAAACTTTCGGGTACTTACCTGAAAATACTCATAAAATTTTTAATCCGAAACCCGCGTAAGTATAGCGAACAGACTGTATAAAGCAACTGATCCAAAGAAAAGTGCATTCGTTTTATTTGCAAAAAAGATACCTACTTACGCGGGTTTCGGATTAAAAATTTCCAGGTAAGTACCCTAAAGTTTGACCTGTTCTTTGGGAAAATATCAACTGGTTAAATGAAATGAAAAATAATGTACAACTTTTTAATTAAATAATAATGGAGAATCTTTTGTATAATTGGGAGCAGAATTAAATTTCTTCATAATGGAGTCTAATGTGGCTATTATAAACCTAAAAATTATTTTATATTACACTTCACACAGAAAATATGGTCTATGTATAATAAGAGGGTTATTTAGCTCAAATTTAAATCTGACCATTAGGGCAATTTTACCTAATTTCTTGGGAAAAGGTTTATTGGAACTGGTTGTCAATGACTAATTTGCATAATTTTGTTAATCCGAAACCCGCGTAAGTATAGCGAACATACTGTACTTTGGATAAACTTTTATTAGACATTAATGGAGATTAAATTCTGGAAACTTGACATGTTAATAGAGGAAACAATAGAACCAATTATTAATTTTGTGGGAAGTGATGAAACTGATGATGATGACTCCTTATCAGGAGAAAAGGTCTTATTTATTTAGATAAGTAAACTCTATATTTATATTAATTATAATAAGTTTGTATGACGCTAGTACCCGAAATACAAACTAACAAATTTATATGGAATCACCCCGTATCTCTAAAAACGAAATATGAGTGTTTTATGAAAAAATATTTTATTTGTAAAAATGTTTTTTTAATATATCATATAGATTTGGGTTGTGTGTATATTTATTATTTAATTTTAAGGAAATAACTTAACCTAATATCTAGTATACTATTTTTATAAAAATAAATGTGGGTACTTTTTTTGTATTAAAGTAATTTCATGTTCCTTGTCATTGATGTATAGTATTATTAGTTAATCCCTTAGGGTTTGCTTATTTACATTTTATGGTGCATTGTGTTTGTGCGTTTTCGGGTTGGTCATACTAAAATCAGGTAAAAATTCAGATAAAAGGTATGAATATTAACTTTTTTCTGCTTTGAACAATCCTGAATATAGACCTTTGCTATAAAAACTGTAGTATCTTTCATATATTTTTAAATAAACTTATAATCTAGTAGTCTTGATAGACATACAACTTTATCTTAAAAATTTTCAATACACCTTTTTTATTTTTGTTCAAATACTATTGACAAGAAACACTTGCTGTTCACAAACTTGTTAATTAATCTTTTTGACAGGCATATGCCTATCGAGACTACTAGAAACACCTAAAGGATACGAAGATCGCGATCCAAGCGGTTTAGTGAACACACACTATTTACTATTTAATAATTAAAATTAATTTAAATTAAAGAAATTTCATAAAATCTATTTTACTTATATGTCTAAAATAATTTATGTGAAATGTAAATGAGATATTTGCATTTTTAGCAATTCTGCAGCTCTACAGCATTTATGTCCCAGCCGTCACTGCCTTTTACAAAATTGTTAAATAACATTTAAAACCCCATTCACTACATTAGAGATAATCTTAATTATAGTTGAATACAGAAATAATAGAAAGTAATTTAATGCCAAGAATGTGTGAAAAATCCTGACAGAGGTGCTATGTATAACAATTCCAATAATGCTCACTACTGAAAATCGCCCTTGTCCAGTAACCTCCAAACATTTCTCCAAATTTTGACAGCATTCTTCACACATTAAAGATAAGCATAATGAGCTAATAATACTTCCACAACAAATATTTAAATTTATATCTAATTAAAATTAATACATAGGTAGATATGAATAGTTCACTTTAAATTAAAAAATATAAAAAATTACAACTAGATTTAAAATGCCTACAATATTATCAAATAGCTTTTGTAATGATATAATTGCTGCGTTTGAATATTCACATCCGATAATACATTTGTTACATCTCAAGCGTTTGTTTATCCACATCGGACACATCTGCATTTGCGTATATTGAATCACGTGATCAACATCTTAAATGCATCCGACGTGAATATTTAAACGCAGCAGTTGTTAATATGTAGTGTTATGAATATATTGGTTCCTGTTTTCAAAACAAATCCTAACTCATAATATTTATAGGCCTGTATGCTTTTGAATGCTTTCATTTACTCTTTAGTGTATTAACTATAGGTGATCACTAAATATACCACAATTTCCATATTACTCATCAGAGCTGGGACGAATCCTCAAAAAATTGATTGGAATCACGAATCCGAATCTCGAGATGTGATTCGAATCACGGATCCTATGTCCGAATCCCTTTTGCAATAAAAAAGGATTCGAATCAAGTGATTCGAATCCATTTTTTCGGATCACGAATACGAATCACTGTCAGTGTCATACTATGGTATTATGTATGCTTCCGAATCTAATATAAATATCAACTATATGTGTATTACGGACTGTGACTTGCATACAAATGGTTGATACAAGAAGATGTTAAAAAGAAAAACTTATTTTTTTTTCTGTAAATATGAGCCATAAATAAATTAGAATCTACAAAGACTATACTTTATTTACTACTAATAAACAATGAAAAATGCCTTTGGTTGGCCTTACATAGCACCAAAATTTTGAAGTGCGTCGATTATACCTGCAAACAAAAATAATCGTTAGACTGCACCAGACGCAGGAAGGCAAGTATTAAATTTTAGGATTTTTTTATGTGGGATATTCATTGCTAATTTGTGATGTCAAAGAAGGCAGCAGAGCACCTAGGCAATTTTGAGTTAAAGCTCATGCCATATTTTTAGGTGCTCTGCTAGCTTCGGACGAGGATGCTTTAAAAAACCGAGTTGCTCTGCTGATTTTATTCCAATAGTCTAAAAAGGCAGTTTGGTTGTTATTAGAAAAAAGCTTTAAAAAACGAGGTGCTCTGCTGGCTTCGTTCGAAGCTAGCAGGGAACCTTGATTTTTGTAAAAAACAAGAAGCATAAAATTTTTAAATAGGGTATAAAAATAGCCTTAAAATGGCTTAAAAATATGGCATAGATTTTAACTCAAAATTGTCTAGTTGCTCTGCTGCCTTCTTTGACTTTTCAGTCTCAGTCTGTTTCAGTTCACACTTCACGACAAGTCAAAGCGTAGTTTAGTTTCTAAAAGGATACGAGACTAATATTGGTGATTCGAATACGTATTCGAATACCGCTCGCGGATCCTCAAAAAGGATTCGAATCCCAGGATGCGAATCCTATGTGATTCGAATCCTCCCCAGCTCTGTTACTCATAGGAGGAATTCCAGTTACTGGATGTGTGATTAAGTTGTCATTCAGTGAGAGTAAAGAGTACTGTGTGGTAAAGGGGCCCAAGCCACTAAATAACCTTTACTTAATTTTATACCTATAACAAATATATCTTTAAAAATCTAAACAGATCATATTTTAATATTTTATACTACAAAATATTAATATTTTTCTTTTAAGATGTTTACAAATATATATAAACTAAATCGTAACATTAAAGTCCGATCCTAGACCTGCATACAACGTGCCATTCGACTGAATCCTGCGAGAAGATGGAAAAAAATAAATAAATATTTTTGCACGAAACAATAACTGCAAATTGTCTCAAAAAAAAGAAAATGGATTTCTGGACACTGCTTTGAATCTTTATAAAAATAATAAAAATAAATATGTAATTTAATATTATTTATTAAAAAAACTTTAATAACAAATAATCCACTAAAGCAGCATTGAATATAAAATGTATTATTTAAGATACCCAAATCTACAGACAATATTATTTACAAAACATGTTTTGTATTTTGTTTTAAATGTTTACATCTGCTTTTTTGTCCTCACTGTGGTTGTCAGACACCTAAAAACAAAACATATTGATTATTTTGTAGGAAAATAAAAAAAATACCCCAAAAACAAGTTTATTTTTATTCCAAGTCATTCCCCTCTCCTACCGTCAATCGCAGCAGTAAAATTTAAAGAGGGAAAGTATCAAATATGACACATCATTGAAAAGTTAATTTTATGGAAATTCAATATTACGAACTGTTACATATTGTAACGTGCGTGACAACACTTCATTTGGAAGCTAATTTTAATAATATTTTAGCTGAATAATTCGATTTGCTTGCTCTAGAGAAACAACAACCTAATTTTAGGTATTTCATACCTTTGTTGGAGATCCATAGGCAAAGATTATTCCATCTTTTGGTTCATTAGAATACTTTCTCGGTTTTATTATTTTCCGTATAAATGGTGCAAGTAGTTTTGGATCTATATCTCTTGGATCTGTGGGTTTAGTTACCATGCTGACTAGTAATCCCACAAACACAGCTACAAAAGTTCCTATTAGGCAGTACCATAAATATGACAGTCTGTAGATCATGAACTGTTCACTAAAACAAAAATATTAAACTATCGTTTTTATTCAACAATTTATCATTTGAACAACATTTAAATTCAAGCTATTTGTATCCTCTTGTTCTTGTACAAAACGATAATTTAATGAAATATTTTTTTAAATAAATGTATACGCAATATGCAAAAACCGGATCATCCCAGCGTAATTTTTTAACAAGCAATAACGAGTAAGTTAAAAATTATATTCTACGCCTTGTTCTCAATGATCATAGGTAAGTGCCCCCCTTACCCCGTTCGCGTAAATACATTGTTTACTACGGTATAGCTGAGGTAGCCGCTGGTACCGCGGTAAACAATGTAGTAGTAATAACGCTCATTTTGATATGTCATTCCTTACTGCGAAACAGCCGCATCTTGGGGGAGTATATTAACCGCTTGATGAAAAAGCAAACTTTAGTGTATTTCAGCTGATGCATGCAACCATTTTGCGCGTTCTTATTTCTTTAACGTTAAGATATCTCACCAGATTTTTTTAGAATAATGTCGAAAAAAACTTTTTCTACACCCGTATTATAATAATGCACTTATATGCCCATAATCCGTTTCATAATGATACCCATTATGATACAGATTTTTCATTATGATACAGATTTTTAATCAATAGAAACCTACAATTTTTCAATCAAGCATGATGTTTGACGTTTGTCCTAAATTCCTATGTAATTGTTTTAGTTGTCAAAACGTATTAAATTTTCGTAGATAGCTAAACTTCGATAATTATAATATTAAAATGTCTGATATCAGCGATATAGAAGACTCCTCCACACATATCGGAGAAAGGAGAAAATGCAGTACAAAATATTTTGCCCCAAAAATCTGTGGTAATACCAATACCCAAGGTAATACCATTAATTACAATTTTGTAGAATTTTTTATAGAAATACGAGTAATTACTGTTATTGTGTTCAATGCCAATATAAATAGAATATTTATAGGTCTTGATTATTTATCGGGTGTAGAAAAAATAGCGTATGCAACTCTCATGTAATGGTTATTAAAACACTCGCATAAACCATACGAAACTCGCCTTTGGCTCGTTTCGTATCCCGGTTAATGCTCGTGTATTAATAACCATCATTACATGATCGTTGCATAATATACTATTTTAAAATCAAATAAAATCAATTTGTAACCAAGATGTTATTATTTTATTGGTGTTTTTTTCTTCAACAACTAAGGCCATTAGCCTCGTGTTCTGCGTAGATTATGGAGTGCTAGTACTATATTACTCCATAGCCTAGGAGTGCTAGTACTCTAATACTGCTACACACCTACAGACAGGTCTTGTTACTTTTTCCAGAGTATTTTTCCAACAGTCAAAGGTCAGAGAGAAAAATAAGACCATCTTGACCTTTACAGATCTATTGTGGATATCCTTCGATCGCTGTTTAGAGTACCTTGTCTAGTTTGGTCCCCCGTAGTAGACTCCATAGACTGGGATATAGTGGGCGTTGCCAGCTGTCCTTGATTCGTCTTCTCCAAGTGTAAGGAATCTTAGTCTTGGTAGACCTTGTTAAGCCTACAATGTTCTGTTTAATAGTCCTACTATATGTATTTGTAACGTGTGGAGGGTGGGTTACCCCCACGGCACTTAGGCCTCACTAGGTGCATCCTCCTAAGGTGATAAGCACCTCCTAGCTCGTGAATCAATCTACAGATTTATTGTAGTAAACAACATCGCCAAGAGGTGCTTCTGTTATATCGGCCGAACACAAATATTCTAATGAGAGCGTCGGGAAATAGTAGAGAATATGCTCGATGGTCTCATCTTCTTGTTCGCAAAGGAGATACTTCCGTACTTGGCAATGATAAGTCAAAATGCCCGTGACTAAGCGCAGGTTTTGTCTAGTCATAGTCAAGTATTTGTTTGCTGCAGTCTTATCAGGATAACTTAAAAGGTCCCTGGCAACTCTGCAGCTTCTTGTTTCATCCTGTTTCCTTGAATTTCGCAAGGGAATGTTTTTTAATTAGGTCTGTCACTACCGATTTTGTTAGTCCAATAGAAGGACCAGTTCCAAAAAGTATTTGGTTGGATGCTTTCTTGGCCAGTGAATCAGCAAGACGGTTAACTGGGTGAAATGCTAAATCAGTAGATCGTCCTGGGTTGTTAGTTTGGGTGTAGTGGTGTTGTTTCAATCACCACATCCCTTATGTATCTTTCGCATAGACTTTCCAATGTCAGACTAATTGGTCGGTATGTTTTTGGGATAGTGTAATCCATCTTTTCAGGTTTGGGTATGAATACCACTTTTACCTATCTTCATTTTTTGGGTATATACCTCAGAGCCAACGAGGATCTGAATATACCTACCAGGTGCGATGTAAGTTCTTCCAGAGCCCACTGAAGTAGAGCTGGATAGACACCGTCAGGTCCTGGCGATTTAAATGGAGAGAAGCTGGATATTGACCAATTAATTTTGTCATCGTCTACAATGTGTTTCGCAGTTTTTCAATCATAGACAGATGTGTTGTACTCTTCCTCTGCCAGTCGGCCACGTCTGTAATAACCAAGTCAGGGAAGTGTGTTGACAGCAGAAGTTTGATGCTATCTTCGAGGTTGGCAGTTTTCATGCTATCTAGTAGTCTAGTATTTTTCGTATAATGGCTTAGTAGGTACTCGGTGAGTTTTGACGATGGCCATTTTAAGAACTCTTTGGCGTGTCTCTGGTGAATTTTTCCACCATTTCTAGATTTTGTAATATCGACTGCTTTTGCATGTTCTGATAGTTGCCTTTGTGGTACCACATAATTATTCTAGGCCAATAAGAGCCTTTGAGGATCCTTCTCGAGCTAGTAAATCAGCCTCTTTGTTGTTCTTACAGTATTGCCCAAAATAAACAGTACCGAAACTAAGTTGGCGGTATCTCTTTGCGCCCGCAGTCATACCTAAGTTAGCTAGGATAGATCTGACAAGTAAATCTTAAACAATTAATTAGTAGGGCCTAATTGTTAAAAATGGTGTTAGGTATAGACGAGAAAGTGTTTTTAGTAGAGTATTATTTTGGCTCATCTGGAATCGGCCAGTAACAGTGCATGTCTGCGATACGTATGTGATCAATTCACACAACGATTTAGTAAACGTTTCCTAAGTAATTGCCTAATTTAAAAGGGTATCGAAAAGGTCAAAAATACGGGAAATGTATTGTACGAAAATCCGAAAGTTAGCCAGAGAAGAACAACGTTACATAAAAAGAACTTTCTTGCAAAGAACCCTAAAGGATCTGGATGCATTTTCGTATGTGATTTAGGTACATCAACAATTATATCGGAATTATCGCAGTAGAGACAAATATTACACCAGCATTCTCGTGTTACAGTATGAAATTCTTCAATTTTTGGAAAATGTATGGCTTTTAGTCGAAGCACACTTTTATTTGTCCGGTAATCTGAATTGCACAAATCGATTTCTGTACTACAATAACATGTATTTCCTAAATAAATAAAAAGTGACAAGTTCAGTACTGTTTACTTCGGGCAATACTGTATATGTGTTCTCTGTGGTCTGGAACTCAGGATTGGGTTAGTCCATTTTGACTCTTCAGCTCTGTTAGGACTGTCTGAATAGGTATATGACAATAGTTTTTCCATTTCCTTTATTATCTTAATATATCTTTTGTGCATTGATGTAATGCTGATATTTCTGCCTGGAATACTGTTGCATTTTTACCTATCATGTTTAGATTTGTACAAGTGCATTAGATTATTTTTATTCTATTCCATTAATATACGATATTATTTCATTTGCATTGGCTATTACGTTTCAGAGCTAACCTTTGCTACAACGTAGTAAAGAATATTTTTAATAAAACAGCGGTAATTTATTTCATTACTTACCGCTGTAGAGCAGCAGTCTTATCTACAACGTAGTAAAGAATATTTTTAATAAAACATAGTTAATTTAGTTGCATTATTTACTGCAGTACAGCGGCTATTTCAGCTGTACCGTGGTAAACAATGCATTTACGCTTCCCGTTCTGTGGTCACGTATTTTAAAATCTAATTACGTTTACAATCCTGATGATATAAACAGTATTATTATATATTTTCATAATTATGTAACGGACTGTCATAAACATACCCTACCAACATATACATTTATATAATATATTATATTAACAATTTCTCAACTAATTTCAATTGTTATTATTCTTTACATCTTACACATTATACCTTATCATTTAGTAGTAGGCCCATTTACAGACCCAACCCAAATGCAGCGCCAATTCAATCATTTATTAGATCAAATACATTAAAAATCAAAATAATTCAAACAAAAATTCCAATGAGTAAAAACAAGTATTTGTTTCAACTATTCTATTATTTTAGAGTCCCAGATAAGATACAATCATTATTTAAATGCCAATCACATACAAAACGTCCGCTGTTAGAATTTTTAATTTTGTGACGAACCAAGGAAACATTCGTACAATTTTTGAGTATTTTGATATTTAGAAAAATCTTACTTACTCTGTATGCGTTATATTGTTTAAAATGGGCATTTTCGGTGGAAATGCGTAGTGACAGCCTTCAGTAGATACTGGTTTTTCTGGGAATATCAAATCTCCAGATGCAATCATACTTTGAGTTTTAAAACAGTACCAGCTCATAAAAATTAAGGAACATATTCCACCACTTAATGCTCCCTAAAAACAATCAATTTTTTTATCTATCAATCTTTAATATTCTTAACTTTGGAGATGAAACATGAATCAGAATTTTTAATTCGAAATTATGAAATTATGAAATTGGTCTCCAAACCCTCAAGGTAAAAAATGAAAACAAAAAAAATCAACGTGTCCCGAATTGACTTCAAGCTATCCATACCAATCTTTTCGTGCTAGTGCCTTGACTACTCGAAAATGCTGGGAAAACCGAAACGCCAAAGTTCTATCATGTATAATAAATTGAAGTGTAGAACCATAGGTAAATTAATATTAAAAGATAAACCGTTTAAATGCACGGCACTGGTAACAAGTGGTTCGTTCCCGGCCATACTACTTGGAGCCACCATCGTACGCTACACATTTGGCTAATTAACTTAAAAGTTAGAGTCAACATAAAAGAAGAAAATTAAAAAGAAGAGTGTCAAGCCTAAACGCGGTTCATTTAAATGTCCTTTTTTATTTACATTTTTTGGTACTCATTACTTTAAAAAAACTAATATTTACATAAAAATACTGTATTTAACATAAATATTAGTTTTTTAAGTAATAAAACTTCAAAAAATATAAATTAAAAATATATTAAAATATTTGAAACAACAGGTACCTAAATAGGTATAGTTTAATGACGCATTTAATAAAAGTAAGGTGCATTTAAACATTTATTACATACATAACATGTACAAATAACAATTGAAATTAATTGTATTCTCCTCTCATTCTTGGAAAACTGGACCAAATTTTGATGCAGGTGTCGGGGGTTTCCTATAAAAACAAAAAAGTGTACATACGTACATCTTATTGAACAATTTTTCTTATCAAAATGTTGCCCTTTCTTATAAAAAAGTTATTTTTAATTTGTCTAAAATTAGTTAATAGAAAAAACTTTCAGTTTATTTCTCATAGTGCAATAGTCGATTTGAATTATATTTTAACTAATCTGTTCTAGTTGATCTAACAAATTTGAATTTTAAAATTACTTTTCATTTTTAACAGAGGGTTGTTCAAATTGTTTATCACTAATACTAAGTTTACGTTTGCAAATAATTTCTTGTTTTTCGTTGCAGATTAGCAAATCTATCTTATGCTACTGTTTGGGTTGAGTATTGAGTATAGTTGAACTGGATGTACTATTAGCTAATAAAATTGGTACAGAATTTGCAATTAGTCTTTTACGTTTTGAAGCAATTTTGCTAAAAGAATCTGCCAAAAAATGATCTTCACAAAGATAGCGAATTTTATTATCTAAAGATAAATGTAAATTCTTAAAACAGTTTTCGCGAATTTTAATATCGGAAGGAAAATGAAAAAAGGTTTTATTTGAATAACCAGCCTGCTGAATATTAGAATAATACTTATTTAAATTAAGGGGCTGAAAAAGATTACTTAATTTTACCAGGGCCAGACATGTTTTGTTACCAATAGGTATATTAAAAAATAATTGAAAATCGATCCAAAATGAAATTATACTTCGTTAAGCCTATAAGGGCAGATTCCACCGTTGTGTTAAACGGAGATTAAAATGACATTGTTAATGTAAAAATGTCATTTTAAACTTCGTTTAACACAACGGTGGAATCGGTCCTAAGAAAACAATGATAAACAAAGTCCTTATACAAATCTAACACCTTATTAAATTATATTGTTAATACTTACTAATTTCATCAAATCAGCACTTATCAATCTTCTTAACCTAATAATAACTTACCTATCGAAGGATAATTATATCCACAACATCAAAATAACTTTTATTTTATGATGGTTTTTGTACATTTTTCGACCATTTCGCCTTACGCCATTCCGTTCTTCATTTTTAACGAGATTATCAACACAGTTGCCAAACCTCTCTTTAAAATATCTTGACAATAGTATGGCCATTGTATGGATCGTATCGAGTATCGAGAACGACAAAAACAAAATAAGGTGCAGCTTATGCGTTTGAAATAACTCTAATCTCATGAAAGTTTATGGAAACTGACAACATCGCTGTCATCTTATTTGCGACGGTGGCTCCAGAGTAGTATGGCCGGGAACTACCACTTGTTACCAGTGCCGTGCATTTAAACGGTTTATCTTTTAATATTAATTTATCTATGTGTAGAACTCTAGTAGTCAAAGCATTAGCACAGAAATATAGGTATGGTTAGTTCGAGGCTAGCTCGGAACACGTAGAATATTTTCAATTTCTCGTTAGTTTGTTTTCATCTTGGAGTTTGGGAACACATTTTATAATATGATAAAATTATTAAATAGATTTAATTAATTCATTTTTAATACCCATTCATTTACCTTTAAAATAAGGTCAGAGCTATTGCCTATATTTTATTTTAGTTTGTCTTAAAGAAGTAAATAAAACGAGTCCTAATCAGAAATGAATAAAAAATAAAGACTGATTATTTCTTTCTTTCTTTCTTCTTCTTTCTTTCTTTCTTTCTTTCTTTCTTTCTTTCTTTCTTTCTTTCTTTCTTTCTTTTCTTTCTTTCTTTCTTTCTTTCTTTCTTTCTTTCTTTCTTTCTTTCTTCTTCTTTCTTTCTTTCTCTTTCTTTCTTTCTTTCTTTCTTTCTTTCTTTCTTTCTTTCTTTCTTTCTTTCTTTCTTTCTTTCTTTCTTTCTTTCTTTCTCTTCTTTCTTTCTTTCTTTCCTTTTCTTTCTTCTTTCTTCTTATCTTCCTTTCTCTTCTTTCTTTCTTTTCTCTTTCTTTCTTTCTTTCTTTCTTTCTTTCTTTCTTTCTTTCTTTTCTTTCTTTCTTTCTTTCTTTCTTTCTTTCTTTCTTTCTTTCTATTATCTTTAATGTATTATCTTTTAATGTAAAACATGATAATTTAGTTAGTAGTTACCTACCTTTGCATTTACCCATGGTAATAATATTCCCATTGTAGATACGCCCAATGAAGGACCATTAGCAATCGATCCTATACTTACAGAAAGCTAAAAAAAATTTTTTTTTGATAAACTAAGTACTAAATAAAAAAAAAACATTATTTCGATGAGATTAAAAACCAAAGCTAATTGTGTTACCTGTAGGACTGCACCTAATCTTTCTACCACAAAAACCAATCCAATACATATTAATCCTGTAATGATCACTGTAGATTTCATTAAAATAAATGACTGTTTTTCGTTCAGTTGCTTACTGAAGAACGGTTTGTAAAAGTCTTCCAAAACTATAGCTGCCATGGCATTTAATGCTGTTGACAAGGAGCTAAAAAAAATTTGAATTAAAAAATTAAAGTCGAAAATATTCGCAGTACCTTAAAGCCGCACTAAAAATTCCTGCAACGAATATTCCTGGAAGTCCTGGATAATCCCCCAAAATATCCATCACTAGTAGTGGAAGCAGTTGATCTTTTTCTCTGGCTAGCTAAAAATAATCTTAAAATTATTTGTTCCATGGCATTTTATTTGATGTATAAAATATTGTTAATTCATCCTATTAATGAATAAATATATTTTTGAGGTTTAAATATCTATTTTTCTACGATCACTATCCAAAATAGGCGCTTTGAAATACAACCGCAAAGTTGACGTTTACCGCGAACTGACATTAAGTGACAGCTTCGTCGCTCGCCGAGCAAAAAACTTGACAGCTTTGTTGCTCGCCTAATTTAAATTAGATATAATATAATATTTCTTTTTAATAAATTACTTTCAAGTTATTTATATAGCACGAGCAAGAGATATAGTGTAACTTTAAAGCCAGCCGGCAACATACAAAAAAAACTAAGGATAATGATACATTAAATATAGTAGATAATTCAAGAGAATGAGTATGCTTATTTTATTTTTACTTCCCTCAATAAAAGGAAAATATTGTAATCGTGAAAATTTTGATTTTCATATTTTCGGGTCCCTAGATTACGAAAAACATGTTTTCCCCATTCCATCGGTCTGTCTGCTGTCCGCCGTCTGTTGTCTGCCGTCTGCCTGTTGGCGCGGTACCTCAAAAACGGCTTAAGAGAAAAAATTCAAATTTTGTATACAGGTAAGGCTTCCTCTTGGCTTAAAACCGGTTATACTTCCGGTCAGATATATACAGGATGAGCAATTAAAAAAAACATTTATTTTTAAAAGTCAGCAGATTTCGACCAAAATTGATTTCTGATAAAATTGTTATCTGATCAAAGATAACAGATCATGAATTACTTTTTAAAAATTTAAAATTACTTCCTTGTTTTTACAATTTATACAGGGTGTTTTTAATGGTATTTTAATATCGTAGGGTGTGATTTTCAGGTCATTCTATAAAGAAAAGTTTATATGAACATATATCCGCAACTGCTTCAATTTTTTGCTACAGAAAGTTGAAAATTTGTTTTTTAAAGAGATATTTTTTAATATCTCTGAAAATAGTTTAGATATAATTTTCAATTTCATTGCTCTACTAGTGGCGTCTCTGCAAACATGTCATCTGATATTTTCTACAAAAAAAATAGTACGCCACTGACATTTTTCCATGTTGATATTTTTACACATTTGCCTGGTCAATTCTACATCAATACGGTATCATGTATTTTTCTCATCAACCGCTCGGTTCTAGATTAAAATAATTAAATTAATCGTCAATACTACAAAACGAAGATATTTTAATTTAATTGATGTATGTGGTTTTATATCCTATTAAAAATATAAAAATAAGAGGGAAATCTCCATAGTATTCAGCAATACTATCTATGGCGTATACTTTTTTGAATTGTTTCGTCCGTAAAACTTTAAGAAGTTCTTCTTTCTTATAACTGTCTTGAAAATACAAATCATTATTTATTAGAAAATTTTGTATATTTGCTTTCGTCATCGTGTTGAATATACTTCTAAACAATCTGCGTCTTAACTAACTCTTCGGCAGATTCTTACTCAATGCAGTGCAGGTGGTTGGAAATACAACCGGCAGGAGCGGACTAGGTTTATGAATAAACTTTTAGAAAATTAACTTAGTTCGTTGTACATTCTTCTTTTGATTTTTAAAATGTGAGATAAAGACGAGGTGGTGAAAAAAAAAAGGTGCAACTAAGCACACCCGAAGCTAGCCAATTTTTTTTTGTATGTACGCCTTATGTTTGGAATTATCTCAAAAGGAAAGAAAGTGTTATACGTATCTAAATATTACGTTGAATATTATAAATCAAAACAAGATGTTGATGTTGCTTGAACAGCATTTTCCTTTAAGATAGTGTAATAAAAGAAAATATTATTTTATATCTAATTTAAATTAGGCGAGCAACAAAGCTGGAAGTATAACCGGTTTTGAGCCAAGAGGAAGCCATACCTGTATACAAAATTTGAATTTTTTTCTCTTAAGCCGTTTTTGAGGTACCGCGCCAACAGGCAGACGGCGGACGGCAGACATACCGATGGAATGGGGAAAACAATGTTTTTCGTAATCTAGGGACCCGAAAACGTTAAAAATCTAAATTTTCACGATTACAATACTTTCCTTTTATCGAGGGAAGTAAAAATAAAATAAGTATACTTATTCTCTTGAATGCTCCTCTACTATATTTATTGTATCAGTATCCTTAGTTTTTTTGTATGTTGCCGGCTGGCTTTAAAGTCACACTATATATTTTGCTCGTGCTATACAAATAACTTGAAAGTAATTTATTAAAAAGAAATATTATCTAATTATAAATATATCTAATTTAAATTAGGCGAGCAACAAAGCTGTCAAGTTTTCCGCTCGGCGAGCGACAAAGCTGTCATTTAATGTCAGTTCGCGGAAAACGTCAACTTTGCGGTTGTATTTCAAAGCGCAAAAGTCTACTTTGGATAGTGATCATAGAAAAAATTATAATTCTTTTAAACAATAATTATACAGTGAGGACGTAAATTTTAAATGGAAGAAGATAGAGACGAAACAAAAATGAGGTGAAATTACGATATTTTTGTTATAACTTGCACTTTACTTGAGACGTAAGATTACTCTCTTTAAATTTTCTAATAGAAAGTCATGCAATATTAATTTGAGATATATTTTCGTTGTCTTTATGTCCATGCAAACAGTTGTAGGTTTTTTATGTTATTACAATAAATTAATGAATACACCGAATAACCTCTCGACGCATGATTCCATAGTTCTGATTTACCCTGCATAATAACTAACTATTTTACCTTATAATTCATTGAATTTTTTTTTTAATCTTTATTATCAAAAGTTCACAATTTTGATTGTCGGTTATTTTTAATATAATTAATACTGATATAATTTGTAACTCTCTTTTTTTTTATTAATTACATTGAGAATTATTGAATTATTTAATATAATAAAACAAATATTTGATATCGGCATCCCTTCGTTACAATTATGAAGTAATAAAAAATTAAAAACGTTTTACTTACTGTGGTTGTTAGTGGATCGCATTTGTGATATGTGGCATAAATGAGCATTCCACAATAGACACCAAAACTCATTAGAATCGAAATTCCAAATAAAAACGCCCATAGTGCTCTAAAATAATATATTATTTTCATAAATGCTTAAAAAATGTAAAAATATATAAAAATAGTTAACTATCATTCTAATAGATGGGTAAAACACTTTTTAAAGACATTATAGATAGGTATACTGAACTAAAACGTCCTATCTGTCAAAATGTCAGTTTGTTAGTTAAAGGCATATTTGTGATGCAGACATGCATGTACAATGGTTTTCTATGCAAAAATATCCTAACTACAATTTAAAAACAAAATCGTTTATATCTCAGAACTTTCCTCATATCATATAGGACATTTTAGCTAAGCAGGGCAGTATAAAAGGTATATAATAAAATGATTTAATCCTGAACAGGTTAAACCATTCCAGTACAATTAATAGAGCTTTTTAAAGTTTGTAGCTTCTCTAGCTTTCTACAAAAATAAATAAAAGAAATGGGTCTATATATGGTCTGAAAAAATAAATAAAAATCTTCCAGTCCTCTTCTCTCTACTTTCTCTTCGTAACTCTGGTTTCACCATCGGCTTTTCTATATCTCCTGCTCTCCTGCCTCCCGCTATGATTACTTCCTTTCCTCCTCTTACTGTTCTCCTCTGCTTCCTCCTCTATATCAACTTTCCTTCCTGATAGGCCTCGGCCTTTTTTTAGTTTCAATATAATAATTGAAAATTGCCTTCTTGTTCAATTCTTTATTTTAATATTTAAAATACATTTAACTCTATTCAATATAAACATAAATTAATATCATTATTTTCAACTCTTTCTAAATCCCCTCTTGACAATCTACCTCAAAATTCCGATGGTAAATTTTTCAAAAATCAACCAGAAACAAATTCAAATTAATATACTCTCCCACCACCATCGGCACAACAATCGTAATTGTTTCTTTCCAATTTGTTTTTTAACTCTTTATTTCTTTTCTTCTGTTTCATCTTATTCTTTTTATCTTTGTCCAATATTTCCAAATATCTGATCTTTCTGTCATTTCTCTTTCACAATCTTTAGGAATTGTTTTTACTTTTTTACCATACTTCTTCTTATTGTCTTGTGTTTTTATCTGAAGATAAATAGTTTTTCGTAGGACCACTTAGGAACGTGACACCTACGCACTATTTAGTCTTATGGAAATTGTCCTATATCACACGCATGTGGATAAACCTACTTTCTACCCGTATGTGAATATGAATCTACTTTCCACATAAGCTGTCAAATACGTCAGATGCCTAATTTCTATTTTGATTGATGTAATGTCTATATCAATAGTTAAATAGATTTGATGATTAAATTGTTAAAATTAATTTTTAAATATTGAACTTAGATATTTCTTTTTAACAAATAAAATAATTTTAAAGTAACTACAGTAAACGCTAAATCGCCACGCCCGTTCACAATTTAAACCTTGTCCTTACGGTCAGTAGCGTAACGACTAGATCATTCTTTATTTCTCGTTTCTGTGTTTTGGTTAAAGTGACTGGTTTTATTTTTGATAATGTCTTCTATTGTGGGTCAAAAAAAGCGCAGATCTGTTATTAACGGACAAAGTCGTGAAGTAATATACAATGTTTTTAAATATTTTGACGCAACAAAAAAGGAAGGAGTTAGATACTTTAGATGATATCAAACTTCAAACTGCACAAGCAACAGGTAAACATATTCTGCAGTTTATTTGGAATTAAACTTGCGTAGTTTTCCATATTTTTTTTGTATTTTACGCACATATCTATGCATTTTATTTTTGATTAATATTTTATATTTAATTATTTTATATTTAATTTTTTTAAATTTATCTTCTCTTTCTAAAGATTTTTGTTTCCTAATAAATGTAAAAAAATACTTAATTTACCTATACTACCGTTAAAAGCATTTTAAAGGAAGGTAAACAGTCAATGGAAACAAAAATTACATTTTCCACACATGCGAAGAATAATTTACGATTTTCATATAACAGAAAAGTCTCGTGTTACTGTTAAAAGGTTAAATAATAAAATTAAGGAAAATTTAGATATTCACATATCAGAAACTTCATTAAGAAGAGTCCTTAAAATATTACAATTTAAGTGGAGAAAAACACAAAATAAACGTAAAGTTTTGGTGGAAAAAATGAAAATAAGAACTTTAAGAGTAAAATATTTGAGAGAGATAAAATATTTTAGAAGTCAAAATAGACCAATCGTTTATTTAGATGAAACATATATACTATACACAGCGGACATACTTCTTCCAAGAATTGGACAGACGATTCAACAAAAGGTTTGTTTTCTGTTATTTCTAATGGCCAAAGGCTTATTATAGTTCACGGTGGGGAAGAAATGGGTTTTATCAAAAATAGTTTTTTGATATTCAAATCAGGGACCAAGTCTGGAGATTATCATTCCAAAATGAATTTGGAAAATTACGGCAAATGGTTAAGAGAGAAGTTAATACCTAATCTTCCACCTAATTCAGTAATTGTTTGTGATAATGCTAGTTATCGCAATGTACAGACAAATCGAGCACCTAATTCCAATTCTTTGAAGAATGATATGATCGAATGGTTGACAAAATACAATATACCTTTTAATCCAAGAAGTTTGAAACCAGAGTTATATGAACTGATTATCTCCTAAAAACCGACATGTAACATAAATGCATTTAATGAGTTGTGTCGAGAATACCTCCACAACGCTTTACGGTTACCCCCATATCGACTTAAACCCTATAGAATTGATTTGGGCATCTGTTAAGAATAATGTCAGTCAAAGGAATGTTACCTTTAAATTAGAAGACGTAAAACAATTAGCAGAAGAAGAATTTAACAAAATCGGTATAGAGGAATGGAAAAAGCGATTCGATCATATTATAAAGGTAGAAGATAAATATTTTGAAAGAGAAATACAAACTGATTTATGTTCGGAAATTAATCCTATCGTCATTAATCCTAATGAGTATTCCAGTGACGACAGTGACGAGTCTTCTTCCAACGAATAATCTGACGAAGACATATGAACATTATTTATTTGTGGTTTACTGTTTACGTTGTTTGTATTTACTTATAGGCTATATCATATGAAATTAAACATGTTTGTTTTTCTTAAATTTACGTAAAATCAGAAGTTATTTGGATTATCCAGTTTTGAAATGAAGACCCGGCATAAAAAATCGGAAGGATATATTACTTCATACACATATTATTTTATATTTTGTTAAAATACAAAATACTAGACCACCAGAGCTCTCCTTAACCTAAAGTCGGCTTACCTAAAAATAATGATGTTTTGACTATAGAATTATGTACTAATCATAAAACTAAGCAATATGTATAAACAAGCATCATTCACTATTTTCCATTTATTTTATGTCCTAAAATATATGCGCCTCTGGTTTACAACTTTCTAGGTAAGCTACGAATTCTATTCATCGGTAGGCATGTTCGTAGCATTATAAATGCGAATCCTTGGTTCTTTAGATTTGGCGTTTACTGTACCTACATTATTTTTATTTTTGCCTGGTTCATATATATCATTGATTAGATAATTCTATTCGCAAAACCCTGATAGCGCAGCTAGTATATTTTTCCACTTTTTATTTCGCGACCACGTCGCAGCGCTGGTTCAATTTCCGAAGAATCATCTTTTTTTTATTTTGGAAAACTATGAAAATTGGAAAAAAACTATTGTTATTTATTTATTTTAAATACATGTACCCCTACAATTATTATTTTTGCTATATAATAAAAAAAAGTTTTTGTTCACGATTGTTCAACTTATCTGTTTAAAAAAAATAAACTAATGAAAAACATGAACGTATTCTAATATTTTTTGTACCTAATGTTATTTTATCCTTATCCTCTTATGAAATTGTGTGTTTATGTAATCACATTTTCTAATTTTGACAAAACACTATCTGCAAAACACTTTAAAATTATTCAAAAAGACATAAAAAAAAATCTAAAACTAGCCACATCTTGATGGAACCTTCATGGCCAGATTTTCTAGTTTTACATTTTTTTTGATAAAACTATTTTGTGGTCGCAGGAAAAATATTGTGTGAATGTGCTTTTTTACTTTCTACACTCGTAATGTATTAAATTGGTGCCCCGTATAATATGCAATTAACGTCTTGTTATGGGTAGAATTAGATTTGCATTGATGTAGAACTAAATAGTAACCATAAAAAAATAATAATCAGCGGTCTGATAATTTCAATTTTATTTTATTTATAATTCATAGAAAGCCTTAATCTATAATCACAATTAGCTAAAGCTATTGGTAAAAGAAACAAAAAATTCTCATTTATGTTAATTTGTCTATATATGAAAATAATATCAAGTTAATAGATGCAATCTATCTATAGTGTTCTTGAAACACGAACCAAAAATCACTAAACATAAACATCAAATACTTAATGTTTCTATTTCTATTATTACATGAATAATTTAGATGAAAATTATGATAACGGCAAAATAAAATTGCACTTAAGTTTTACTTATGATTACTTATTACAGATTACTGCCCTAATAAAACTTGATGAAACTTTTACACCAATAAAGATCGATAATAATTCATGTCAGAAGTTCAAATGAGACGTATTTTAAAACATTAATATCATTTTTATGAAAACCTTTAATTATGAGGCAAACAGGTAAAGGTCGTCTGAAAAACTGGGAAAATATAAATATGTGGTTGTAAGACTTCGTAGAAGTTTGACATGCATAATTAACACTGATTGATTACGTTGTTTTAAAGCCAAAATTTTGTTATATCTAGTAAAACAAAAAATTTTATGACAACTTATGTCTGTTTTATCAAATACTTGTTAATGCAAGTCTTGAAAAACTTAATATATTTAATTTTAAAGAAAATGTCATGTGCAAAAATTATACTAATTAAAAAAATATATACTAACTTTTTAGATTGTTTCAAAGATGGTAATGACAGATATCTCTGAATCATGTTCTGATTGACTCCTGCAGTTTGAACTGTGAAAAATGTTCCACCAATTACCAATGCCCAAATAGTGTGTCGTGATAAGGGATCTAAATCAAAACTTAACATCTGTTATTTCAAAGCACAGTAAATTGTAATCATAAAAATACAACTATATTTATTTATATATAGACATGAAGGTTTATCGTCGTTGGTTTAGGAACATCTCCTATATGTAAAATCACTTCTTAGAACTTCTTGTAGAGGTGCACGCATTAATTATTTGGTGATAACATTAACATTAACATCTTACTACACATGAGAAATTTTAAATTTGTAGGGAGTAACTAGATGTCGCTTATGGTAACAAAATATAAATAGTCAAGGGTAATATAACGAGACCTTGATAATAGTCGGCTATTTTTGTTGAATCTAAATATCGAGAATATTTTAATATTAATTTGATGAGATATAATTTTTGGCATTAATCAATTGATTATTAATGCAAAAATTATGTAGAATCAAATTGTAAAATATTCCAGAAATTTAGCAACAACAAAAATAACAGAATATTAATCAAAATCGTGTTTTATTTGGGACGACTATTTCACTAGACCAAATGAGGAGCAACTATCCAAAATGCAATAAATCCATAATTTGTTGTTTTAAGCAAAACTAAAAAAACTAGAGATATGAGTTAGAAGAGAAACTGAAATTTTTATCTACTGCAGAATGATATAAATAACAGTTTTAAAGAGAAATATTATCAGTTTTAGTTCAAATTTAAGATTTTCCCAACAATATGTGTATTTTTTGAATGGATTTATTTCGTTTTGTTCAACTAGAATATGGATATATGCCATTTTGCCTAGTTAGTGTGGATTTATTTCTTTTTGCTTAATTCTCATTGGGATTTATTGCGTTTTGCTTAAAGTGATTCATTTTACATTATTTACAACTTTTGTGAAAAACTGATTTTAATAACGAAAATTAAAAAATAAAATTAAATATGAAACCAACATCTTCCTCCAGACAGTCGTAGGTATTTTGTTCTTCCTCTATTTCATCTTCACTAGCTTGTAAAATAGTTTTGTACCATACTAGATCATCTTCTTGTTCCCATTCTTCGCCATACTCTTGGGCTTCAATGATTTTTTCTTTTTCTCCTTAAGTGGTCTTCCAAGTTTAAGAGCTTCCATTTTTAACTCAGAATCTTTTTTACCTTTTTTAAGGAGGGTTTTTGGAGTCTCAGCTGTACTTTCAAACCTAAAGTTTTGGAAGAAGGTTATGGTTATGCGTGCAGCTTGATTTTTTCGCAACACAACTCTTTCCATATCCGATATACTATTAGTTTTTTTTTAAATAGGTTTGTAAGTGTTTGACATCATACAGAAGCCAGTCTTGTCCAAGACATTTTACTTCTCCAAATTCTTTATATATCTCATCATACCCTTCCTTATTCTTTATTGTTGTGGCTTTCTTAAAACTTTCTCCACTCAACCAAATACCCTATCGCGGCGGGTAAGAAACTGTCCTCTTAATGGAAAGGTATTAATCTCAGCTAAGCCCTTAGGCGATTGTTTTTTAAGTAGTAATAAAGTGCAAGGTCATTTAAATTTTTTAAGCAGTATATCTTTATTTACAATTAGTTTTTTCATTATTATCCTACCTTTTACATTTTTTATTAGTTTTTTTTTTAGATATTTTACGTATTTTTTTTTTTCGACTTCCCACACTGCTATTCTTTATACTCTATATCTTCCATTTTAAAACACGCAAAGGTACTTAGTCCTAACGTCACTCAAAGCATCAAACCATTAATGCAGCGTACTCCTACCTTTATTCTGCCAAATTTAAAACACAATGTGACCTATTGGCGAATGTTTATTCTAACAATTTTTGAAATAAAAGGAATAAAACTTTTTAGGGAGAAATCTTTTTTATGGATTTATTGCGCTTTGCTTAACCCTTTATCGGGCAAACATAGAAAGCCTAATAAGAAAAATATGTTATTTTACTCATACATTTTTAGTGCCCATCTAAAGCTAACAGAAGTAGTAGAATACTCAAGTTTTTGAAAAAGTGAACTTTGATTATGTAACCATGTGGTAACAGTGCCCGATAGAGTAATAAAATTTCAAATAAATACACCTATATTAGATTTATAAAAAATATTTATTCTGAACGAAAAAATAATAAAAAAAATAAAAAAATTAATTGTGAAAGTCGTAGAAAGAGTTTTTTTATTCCAGTTTAGTCTACAATATATTGTATAACATCCGTGTACTTCTCCATTGGTTACGGGAATAAAATTTCCTCTTCCTTCCAAAACCGAATCATTTATTGGGAGGTCGTCTTTACTCCAATTGAAAATTGCTTGAATTTCTCTTTTTTTACCTTGAAAAGTTGAAACCGCAATTTCATGAGATTCTAAGTGTTTTCCTGATCTGAGTATTCTGCCGATATTTCCTTGAATAAACCATCCATTTTTCTAAAAGTAAATTTTTTATCGGTCAATGTAACCAAATGGTTACTATACTATTCAAATCTCATTTCTTGTAGTGCGTAAATATGCACTAAAATTATATTTATCTTAGTAATTAGTTTCGTCCCTCTATAAACTTATAAACGTAAACATAAATCTAAATAAATAAAATTACTTACTGAAATTATATTATTTATCACAACTGACGGTCCTCAGCAGCACAACACAGGAAGCGCGTGAAAAAAACAAGCGCCAAACGAAATTTTTAGGAATTATTCTATTTGTTGTGTATTCAACCAACAATATAAGGTTGTATCCATATGGTAAGAGCGCCCGGTGAGATTAAATATATGAGGAGTGAATTTAGAGAAGGTTTTTGTTCAATGTAACCATGCGGTTACAGTGCACGTTAAAGGGTTAAACAAGACTGGATTTAATTCATTTTGCTTCACTGAAAAATGGATCTAATGCGTTTTGCTTAGTTAAGTGATCTCGTTATGGCTATTTCTATTGGATTTAAAGCACTTTGATAGAACTGGATTATTATGATGATAGATTGAATAAAATACACTACATTCTTTCATTTACCTAAAAAATAATAAAAAACGGATTTAACGCATTTTGGATAGTTGCTCCTCAAATATCGACTATTTCTTTAGAGAAATAGTCGCTGATATTTGGTATAGGGAGATAGTCACAAATAATGCACACAGGAGGTATTGCTAAACCACAAACGTTATGTTAAGTATCTGATCAAATATGTAATATTATTAATATTTTCTTCAACGTCATCGAAAGCTCCACCGCTGGTGTGTCTGCAGCAAAGTATTTCCATCTTCTAGACAAGAAAGAATGAAAAATTTGTCTTGTTCAAATGTGTACCAAAAAAGTGTCACCATTATCTAAGTATTTTTCGTTTAATCGCCTCATTTTGAATTTAAAAATTTAGAGCTTTTTGGACACTAAGAGCCAGGGCATAAAAGCATAGGATTTTAGTAGTTTGTACAACAAGAGTGGATATGATGGCTATATGGCACGAAGACAAATTTTGAGCACGACGACGTAAGCAGAGTACTCAATCGTCTGAATGCGATATGGACAATCCACTCGAGTTGTACAGTATATTTTTTCTACATCTTACTAACGAAAATCTAAAAATTTTAAAAAAAATATTTTAGGTTACTCAAGTGTGTATGGCACGATACTAAATTAAGAACTAAATTTATTACTAAATTAAGTTATTAATTTAGTACTAAATTTAAAACTAAAAATATTTTTTCCGTTTGCAAGGATACCAATGTTTAGTACTAAATTAACTATAGGCGCAGTATTAATACCTGAAATTAGCAGAGAAATTAAATATTTTGTGTAAAATAGACAAGTGAAGTAAATGGTGTTTTTATTATTAATTTAACACTAGTTGACTTGACAACAACCAAATAAAGCAATGCTACTAAAAACCACGAAAAAAAAAAAAACAATAAAACCTACAAAATCAAACAAGCGAACAAGGGATAATGCAAAATTTTAAGTACTAAATTTAGTATCGTGACATACAGCTTTATTAGTGGATTTTATTTGTTGCACTAGGTGTAAGTTTTCTGCACTAATCGCATTTGATTTGTCCAGTGTAGCTTCGAATATTTGACAGTAGCCCACGTGTAGCATATACGTTTGACAAGTATGACAGTTCGAATACAGTATCGAGTGTGACACTAGTGCAACAAATAAAATCATTATAAGACAAAATACGAGGCGTTTTTTTTTAAAGTAAGTACCGTTTTGGTATTCCGCCGTTACAGCGCTGTGGTCGTCATTCTGCGCATGTGCACTGTGTATCTGCATCTATTGGCAAGGATGAGATGCCATTGCAGCAACAACCGCCCTTGATTACGTGTGTTAGCAAGCATTTAATATTGCAGCGCCGACTGTAAAGTTCGTTAAATTATGCGTTTTCTGAGTAGTTTACGAACAAAACATTGTGAGCAATGGAATGGTTAGAAAGTGGGTTCGAGCATTTAAAGATGACCGCACAGATGTGCATGATGATGAGTCGAGTGGGCTACCTTCAGTCATTATTGACAATTTGGTGTTGACCAAACAGTGAGAAAAAACAGACGCTTTAGATTACGTCGTTATCTGATGGCTTTTCTCAAGTTTCTCGCTTTTAAGCCTTTTGCACTCAAAAAACGAATAACAGATTGAAGTTTAGAGTCAGCGGGATTCTCGATTAGCAATGCCATTTTAAATGCTTGCTAACACACGTAATCCAGGGCGATTGTTGCCATAATGACGTCTCAGCCTTGTCAATAGATGCATGTACACAGCGCGCATGAGCGGAATGAAATTTAGTCAAGGCATATTTATATTGGTAAAAATATGCTTATTACGTCCAAATAGAGGTACTTAACTAGATTACAGGCAACATTTTTTGAAACGTATTCCTGTATGCTCATGTATTTAGAACTTTTTATTTTAACTATATAACAACAGTGTAGTGTGTTCAAGGGCGGCTCCAGGGGGGTTAGAAGCCCATTTTCCTCTCCGACGTTAAATTTTTTACAAACAATGATCCTCTTAAAAAGGGAATTATTATTGACAATGCCCGCCACTCTCCGAAAATTCGACCTGGAGCCGTCCTTGAGTGTATTTGTCTACTCAAACAGAGCTGGAAAATTAATTTGAATCACGAGTTTTCGCCTTTGTTACTTTACTTGATAAATATACTTACTTTGGACCTTCTAGTCTGTTGCTGTCCAAATTTCTTTGTATAACATTTCCAATTCCTCCGATGTCAATGGTTCCCTTTACCATCACTAAAATTATAGCTCCAAACATTAAGATGAGCTGTATGACGTCAGTCCACACTACTCCTTTTAATCCCCCCTAGAAATTTCTGTTTCTAATCAATCGTTTGGTTTAATAAATTATTGATAAATAAGTGAATTGTATTTATTACTGTTTTGCTATACCATTTTAGACAGACAAATTATAATTAGGTAGTAAGTGTGAAAAGTTGGACGAAAAATCATATTCATTTCTTTAAAGAAGAAACAGAATGTTTTGAAAATTTAATAGCAAATATGTAAGTGTAATATACACTCTTTTAATACAATTATACACTGCGCTCCCTTCTTCAGATGAAAAGTAAACGTAGTACTCATTTAATAAATAAACTTTAATAAAAATATAGAAAAATATTGTTATTCATAAACAGAAACGTCGGACAACGACTTAAAATTGTGACGTTTAAGTAAGAAGGTACAAACACTTAAGAAACAACAAACAGAAAGGAAGAAATCTTAAACAGCGGGAGCGACTCTAATGAAGAATATCACCTACGAAAAATGTAGATTATTTAGATAGAAAATGCTGTTCACCCAGTTTTAGTTCTCTTGGAGAAGAACCAGAGATAGTACTTATTTTTCAACAGAAGGATGCATGTAGGTTAAAAAATTAATTGTTTTAGATTACAGAAGAAATTGGAGACGGACGATGGTGAACTATACATACTTTTTCTTTCTGATCACATTACTTTACATGTGATTCCAGATAGTGCCATAACTCAGTGAGATTTTTATTTAAAACCCAGTGCGAGTTTATAATTAATCCGGTGCGGATTAAATAGACTCAGTGCGAGTCTAGGACCCAGTGCATGTCCCAGGTTCAGAGCGGACCTGTTAAATCATAAAGGCAAAGGAAATACTTTTTTTGATAGCATCTAACATCTAGCAAAATTGAATATGAAGGATGATGGTTAACTGGACATAATTACATTTCCTTTCGGTTCACATTACTTTACAAGGGATTCCAAGTAGTATCATAACTCGGTGCGAGTTTTTTTTTATAAAACCCAGTTTGGGTTTATATCATTAAATAAAGGTAGTGCAAGTCCAGGACCCAGTGCGGGCTATAGGTTCAGTGTGGATCTATTAAATTACTAAGACAAAAAGACTGGTTTTTTGATAATGTTAGCAAACATCTAGAAATACTTTATATTGCGTATGCTGGTAAATTGGGCATACTTTTTTTTCTAGTCGATTTAATTTACACGTGATTCCAGATAGTAACAACTCAGTGCAAGTTTTATCATGAACCCAGTGTAGCTTTATAACAAATCTAGGGCGGATTAAATACAGTGAGACTATAAGATCCGGTGGGTGTCTCGGATTTAGTGAGGACATGCTAAAATGTCTAAGGTAAAGAAGATACTGATTTTTTGGTAGTGTTTTCTAATATATAGAAACATTTTATATAAAGCCTAAGAATTTTGTTTACGTAATATTGGGAGATATTGCTATGTTCAGTTACTTACATCCAACCATTTGGAATTTGTAATTTTTTTTTAATTTGTTGTCATCAGCATCGACTACTAAGGTCATTAGCCTCGTGTTCTGTGTAGGCTTTGTTACTGTTTCCCAGGGTCAATTTAGGAAAAGCACTATTAATTAGAACCCATCAGTGAATGGTCGAGTGGGGAATCCTACCAAGGCATCAGAATTATAATTATATGCAATTTGTGATTCTATTTTGAGTTTGTTTTTAAGACTTGAATCAAGAAGATCCTCACCCTCTTAATGAATTTAAGGGGCCATTGCTAAATGGAAATATCCGTAAAATTTTGGGAAATCTACTCATTATGGAGGAGCACTGTTGAAGTTATTCAAAAAAAGCCTAATTTCTAAACATCTTGGGTTCAGGACTAGATACATTTACAAATCATGGCTTGTTTCCATATATCCTTAAATTGCCTTTTGATGACGCCACTCAAAGTCAAGCTAGAGAATAAGGCAGCAAACTCTTAAATGAAGTTAAAGTCTTTACAGACCAAGTCTGTCCTTACTTGGTAAGACACTCATCTTAATTATGAAAAAATAAGAAATCTTCTCACATTAGAATTGAAAAGTGACCTCATGGAAATAATAGGGGAGGCTAAGTTCAGATCAAAGCAAATCTGCTGAAGCTATGGAGCATTTAGGTAAAGATTTGAGGCAGATGCCTAAGTTAATGGTACTACGTAAGACTGTAAAATTCAAAAGTTCCCCCCCGATAATAGAAATACTCATTCATAGGGGTACCCTGGAGAAACATTGGAAAATGCCCCAGAGACATCAACCCAAACAGAGCCATTCACACAACAGAGCTTGCCTTCTCAAGTGAAAGGAAGTGTACTAGCAAGAGTTCTAAGTAAAAACTAACTAGAGATATCTCAGAAGATCTGTTTGTAAGGTTAAAGGTTACTCCTTAAATTTTATTTCTGTGCCTGTACAAAATATGATTCCTACTAAACATGTCAATCTTTAACTGTATATCAGTGGATCTTATCAGAAATAAATGATCTACTTAAGACTAAGACCGTCCACTCTTATAAGCCATCTAAGGAACAATTATATCCAATATTTTCTTAGTAAATAAATCAAATGGATAATTTTGTTTAGTTATAAATAAATAAAAAAAAATCAGAATCAGCTCATTGAAACGAGAGTTTATATAACTTTGTTCACAAAAGAATCCTACTTTATAATTACTATCAAGACCTCAAGCAAAAGTATTTAAGATTATTTTTCAATGATATTTTTAACAAAATTGTGAAGCATGTGATATCCACTCTTAGAGAAAAATATTTTGAATACTGTAAACAAAATACTAAAGATACTTCATCTAGTTTATCATTAGTCCATCCTCCAGCCTTATAGGGTCAAGTTATCAGGTAGAAACAAATTACAACAGTCTTTAACTCTCTCTTTCAGACCTTAAGTCGTTGGGTAAAGTGGACTGAACTTAGATATAAGGTTCACAGCAGGCTGGACAAGTGTATCTTCTGTTTTGCCGTATTATAACCGGCCTATAAAACAGGATCCCACCTCTTTTGCAGAAACCATTCTAATTTAGTTTATTGTGGATTAAACTTTCGTTCGTTTTTGTTACACTTGTAAACATTTTCAAAAAGTTTATTGAAAATTGCCTCATTTCTTGTAGTCGCAACTGTCTTTAAACATCTACGTTCACTTATTATCTGAGTAGGAGAGCGCAGTGTACAATTATAAGATCAAACGAACTTACCCTAAGTGAAGTTCGATCTTATGCTGCGTTTGAGAATCCACATGGGATGCATTTTTTACATCTCGAGCGTTTTTTTATCCACATCGGACACATCTGTCCCATTACATTTACGTATACTGAATCACGTGATCAAAGATTTTTTACATCTCAGATGCATCCGATGTGGATTCTCAAACGCAGCATATATTATACACTGTGCTCCCTTCGAAAATGATCTCTCCAAACCCTCTGAATCCCAGATCGTCGCAGATACGACAGAGTTTTAAAAAAAGTAAGCCACGCCCGCAAAAGGCAGGAACTACATAGAAAGTGAGGTTATAGGTTTTGGCTTTGGACTATGGTGCACAACTAGCTCATAAATGAGTACTACGTTTACTTAACGTCTTCGAAGGGAGCGCAGTGTGTAATCAATATCGAACTTCACTTAAGGTAGGTTCTTTTTATTTTATAATTATTGTTATCGTATCAAAATAAACATTGACAATATGAGTAAGATATCTCGTTATAGATAAATAGATCTGGCTACTTTTTTGTGAAGATTTTTTTAACTTAAATCCACATTCATTCTTCATTTAGCTGACAATCTAAGGAAGGGATACTTAAAAGAAAGCATTAGGTACGTTAAATTAAGGATTTTTTCGTTTTAAATCATCATTGGGAGCTTTTCAAATATATCAAAATCAGTGGTAATAACGTTAACACTCCAATTTAAAAGACGAGGTCATAGCAATATTTTTGTTAATGTTTGATTTAGAGTTTAGATCATCACGGTATTCGGTAACTTTTAAAGTTTAATTTGTTCAAAGTAGTCCTACAAACTTATCATTCCATACGTATATACCTATTTAAAAATAGTAAATAGTAAATAAATAATAATGGGTAAGTAATACTTTAATGTACATACCATTGAAGTATAAAATATACAAAATATGCAAACTATTGGTGTGATGAGATGTACGTTTACTCCAGTCACTAAAAAATTCAAATATATAACTTAAAACTGTAAAAAAAAACATTTGAAAATAAAGGTCAATCGATATATTAATATCCTCGTCATTTTAATTGGGAAAAATGCTAATTTAAACATTTCGTACCTTGAAATGAATAAAGAAAACTACATAACTATTTTCATTTCATTGTAAATAAATATAATATAATTCATTACACACTGTTACCTCATTTTAAATTTTTTATTATAGACCTGATGATGGATCGTTAGCCGAAACTAGTTCCACCTTTTAATCAAATCAAATATTTTTTATATGATATTGATTGAGTTTTCTTTATTAATTTGATAAAAACTACCGCATTTAGACTACGGATAATGTTTCATACAGTCTGTTCGCTATACGCGGGTTTCGGATTAATTAATTAATTAATTAATTATTTGTAACAAATTTAGTACCTACCCTAATGATATTTTAATTTAAATCTGACTATTAGAGCAATTTTACCTAATTTCTTGGGATAAGGCTTATTGGAACTGGTTGTCAATGACTAATTTGCATAATTTTGTTAATCTGAAACCCGCGTAAGTATAGCGAACAGACTGTACTTCAATTTCGGACGCACTCGAACTGCGGAAACGCATGAGACAGGTATAAAGGTAATAAAAAGGGATTTAATCCCAAACTCGAACTGCGGACACGGTCTATGGGTTAAATGTTATCGTTTAGAAGTTCGGAAGATATAATCGATTTTTCAGACGACACTACTATATATTTTATCAATCACACACGTGGGAAAAGTTGAAACGTTGATTTTAATATTATATTGATTTCAAAACCAAAATAGGTTTATTTTTAGTTTTCTTTTCAGAACTGGTGGAATAATGAACGTTTTTTAAGTGGCGCAAAATACAACAACTTGGTCTGAGCACAGAATATAAAAACATTATTTCCACTATTGGAAGATGGCTGCATCCTATATTTGAGCTGCCCTTTTTATTTATAGATGAAGTGGAGGCCTCATTTGTTAAAGATTTCATGGCCAAGAAGCCAGATGATGAAAGAATTACTGTGCCATTTAGTGGATTCAATATATATATGGTGTATCTTATAATGGTATACGAAGTTTTTTTTAAATAATTTGATAAACAGTGAATTTTTTGTAATAAATGTTTTTTTTTTTTTGAAATTGGATCCGATACAATTTATTTGGTCACTTTTTGAAGATGACATCGGCCAAGTGGCCACCTCCGGACGCCACACACAAATCGGTCCGTTTTTCGGCATTTTCCATTACTTTTTGGAGTGTTTCGGGTTGAATGGCAGCGATTCCTTGGCGTATGTTGGCCTTAAGTTATTGGAGAGTAGCTGGTTTATCGGCATAAACCTTTCCCTTTAGGTATCCCCACAGGAAAAAGTCAGGTGCAGTCAAATCTGGTGAATGAGCCGGCCAGTCTATTCGGGAACATGCCATGCAATAAATCCATTGTTAGAGGGCATGTTGCGCCATCTTGCTGGAACCAATAGTCGCCCATGTCATGTTCGTAAACCTCATTTGCCACAAAATCGCGTAACATGGCCCGATATCGCTGGCCATTGCCTGTTAACGTGGCGCCGTTATCGTCTTCAAAAAAGTACGGGCCGATGACCCTTTTAGCACAAACAGTGACTTTGGGGGAAAACAACGGCTCTTCGAAGATCATTTGAAGATTTTCAATACCACAGAAGCAGAAATTTTGCATATTAACAACGCCACACAGCGTGAAATGTGCTTCATCGGTCATGATTAAATAGCTCCAAAAATCAGGTTGACCGGCAAGGATATCCTGCATATTGCGACCGTATTGGATGCGACGCGGCCTATCAATTAGCAATGATTGTTGAGCGGTCTGCATTTTGTAAGGAAAGGCGCGCAAATCCACTCTTAGTAACCGCCACATGGACATGGGGGACATGCCAAACTACTCAGAACGGTGTCGGACCGAAACTTGTTGACGGGCCTAGCGATGTGTCGTTCATGAACGACCCGTTCAAAAAGAACGAATCATCCCGAAGACCCGTGATCGATTCAATCACTCTTCGTGACCCTATCGTTCATATGACCCTGTTCATTTATGAGATTTTTAATATTCTTATGAATTGAAGAGCTGTTTTTTTACCGATTGATTGGTGACTGAACAGAATATAATGAATGACTGAAAATGTAATGCAGTGAACGATGATCGTGACGACGTGGTCGTGATTCGTGATCGATTAAACACTGACACGAGAGAGAAGTAAAAAGTACCAAGGCTCTATAATATAATATAGTCATAATCATAAATCTGTATCAATCGATAACTGTTACAAATTACAAACGTTCAACAATAAACTGAGATGAGACGAGACTGTAACCATTATGATTCGGTTCATAAAAAGAGCCGACAGAGTCTTACCATCAGCGCGTACTGTGCAAATCATAAGCGATGTATAAATTCTCATTCACTGGTCATATCGTTCATATGAACTAATCTTTGTGAACGGGTCATTCAAATGATTGACCTTGTCTGATCCGGGTCGTCAAGATGAACTAGGTCTTCCCATCACTCGTTGACGCTCCGTGACGTCGGCACTTACGGCTGCTATTGCTTCCATAATCCGTCTGGTACGCAGCTTATTTCGACGGACAGAGGTGGCCAAAGATCCTGTGGCATTAAATTTTGCAACCAAAGCAAGAATAGTTTTCGGGGTAGGCGCATTCTGGCCACGATACCTCGCTCTGAACGCGCGTTGAGTCAGCGTAACAAGGGAGTTTTTTTAAAAATAAATTTTAACAATTTCAGCACGTTGTTGTGGTGTAAGGTGGTTCATTGTTAAAATTGTACTGGACTGACGTTTCTAAAACATTAAAAAACATGGCGATCTGTCACCTGGTTGTCAAGTTATTTGAAAAAAACATCGAGTACCACTATAAGATGCACCCTTTAGATACTAACTGTATGTTTCCATTCAAAATATGGGCATCTAAAACTTCTTCTACTTGTAGAAATACCAATACATGCGAGTCATTTCACTCCAAATTTAGTGCCTATTGTCCCTCTCCATATCCAAATATTAATATTAAGTCATTACCCAGCTAGCATATAACGTTGCCAAGCCTTTCGGCGATGTTGTTTTAAGGGAACGTAATAACATTTCCATACAACGTAATTGCAACGTTCATGAGAAGTTGTTGAGGGAAATAAAAACATCGCGAAACATCTGTTTGTTACTTACGTATTTAATCTGCCTGTTATGATAACACAACGTAATAAAGTAACTTGCTAAAAAAGTATCCACGAGAAGTACTATAAACGTCATCTTGTTTTCGAACATACCTATTCGTTTGTCATACCAACAAAACATAAAAAAATGTCACTTGTCACTTTTTCTTGTATGTATTTTGAGATTTTAAAGAAATTGTAAACTATACGTTTCAATAAGTTTGGTAAGTTCTTTTCTTCTTTTCAATAAAATTGAAATATATTTTCTAATTTATTGTCTGTTGTTTTAGATTGCAATATTTCAGTTTCCAACTACAATAAAAAATAAATAATTGTGAACGAGTAGATATAATTAAATGACTGCCTATATTTTACACGATAATAGGGATCTTATTGATGTCTCAATACTATAGAAATAACGATATTAAACAATGAAAGTATCGATATTTAGGCACTGATACTGAATTACCAATACTATCGCCATATCCATACTTAGAAGCAAGTATCGTATCGCCATGTGTGTGGTCAGGAAAAATAAGGTTTGTTCAAATATTTGTACCGAAATATTTTAGTTTTCGCATGTGGTGAAACTTGGTAATATGAGGTAAATTGCCAGTTATTGACACTATAACTTGTACCAGGTAGAGTACCAGTAGAGAAAGAAAAGGTGTCAACTACAGAATATACTTTACTGATGTACACTTGTTTTTAGTTAAGTTCCCCACTCCATCCTGTTGAATGGGGGTTGTCAGCCGTTTAAAAAAAATCTTTTACTTGTTCGATACTTTGTTACTCGATACTTATAAATATCGATATCTTTAACATAATATCGAACAGTATCGATGTCTGTACCACAAAGTATCTCACATGATACCAGTATCGATATCTTTGACCGATTCATACTCTTATACTACTATAAAAATACAAAAACAGAGAAGTCATATACTGCCATCCTAAGCAGAGAGGTCCTATCTGAAAATTTGTTGTTTTGAAATAATCGAGTTTTTAACTATTTTTAGCAGATATATTTATTATCTTTTAAACCTTTTTTGTGTAACTTTTTAACATTTTTGTACCTCTGATGCAAATAAGGCATTCCGTTTCAGTATCAAGAAAGATAAAATGTAGACAAATGCACATAAATAAAAAAAAAAAATGCTAATTTTGCAGATAAAACCTTTCTTGCTAGGACGGCAGTATAGAAGTGCTCATATAGTTCACTAAAGATAAATAAACATTTAAATTTATTACGTTTCAGTAAATTAACTATTACCATTGCTGCACAATACCAATTGCTAGACAAACTTTAAAAATGCTTTACAATACAGCAAAATTGCTGTAAGTATGGTCGCCCTAGTGTAACCATATTTCAATCACTAAAAATAAATTGTAAAAATATTGTGTTGTAGGTTTTCTTTGTGCTGGATTATAATTCTAGTAAAAATCTCAGGAATTTTAGAAGCTAAAGTTAATAATACAGAATTGGTTGAAGAAGAATATATAACATCTGAAATTATTTCTTTTTCTTTCATAGCAGAATATCATGCTGAAAACATTGTTCTGTATAAGTTCAACATCTATTATTAAGTATAAAATTTGTAAAAATTATTAATTTAGGAAAACAAAGTAAGTAAAAATCAATTAAAAATAAGTGCAGTTATTATTTATTTAAAAAACAAAGAAAGTAAAAATCAACTAAAAATAGGTGCAACGATTTAAACAAATTTTTCATTTTCTTTTTACATATTATTTTCTTTAATAATAAACAAGTAAATTTATTATCTACAAAGTTATTTTTACGGAAGAAACTATATAATTAAGTTCACATATTTATTTATCTATCTATTTGTTTACTGTACGCTACAGATAAATAAAGTTCTAAATGGTACATTTAAAATATCAATTAAAATAAAATAAAAAAGAAATTAATAAAATTGTCATAGTATAAAAGTGAAGTCAATAGTGTAATGAAAGTCGACGTTTAAAAAAAAAACCTACAAAAATGTCATAATTTAAAAAATACTTGGACATCAGTCGGTCTACAAATAAATTCTGTCCATAGTTATTTCTATGAGTATTCACATAAAATAGTTTAATCTGCCTAGTAAGTCTGGCAGGAATAAGGAATCTAATAAAATGAGGAATAAACGATAAGCCCCTGTCAAAAATAACACCAAGATCATTTATAGTTTGCTCAACACTTAGTTCAGAACCTGCAATGACATAATCATGCATAATGATATTAGCTGTTTTATTAAACCTTATGACTTTACATTTATCGATATTCAGTTTAATCAAGTTATATCATATTAAAACTATGATAAGTACTAGTTGTAGGCAAATATCTTTTTTTAGCATCGTACAACTGCCATCTTAATAAAAATCTAGTGACCTTTGACATATACCTTATATAAATGCACTTTTTACTACTTTTCTACAATCGTTCACCATTTTAGCTACTAGTGAACCTTTGCAATATAGGTACCTTATTATACTCTTTCGTGCAAACGTTCAATGTTTTCGATTCTGGTGAACCTTTGAGATATTCCTTATATACTCTTTATGCCTACTTTTGTCCAATTTGTCAGTGTTTTATAGCTACTTTATAATAATAATAATAATAATACTCTCCCTAATTCACCCCCTTACGAGTGAATTTCAACCCCTGAAGTCGACTGAACGACTTGTGTAGGGGAAGGGACGGATATTATTATTATTTGCCGTGGCGCTCCGGGGCGACTTAAAGATGATTGATGGTGCCATTTGACTTACAGGTGAGGAAAACCCGGAAAACCTCACCCACCATCATCGAGACGATAATGTATGGCGAATTTTTTTATGCTGCATGTCATATCAACAGAAATTGAATTTCTATTAATACGCCACACATCAAATCCTAAACCGAACCATGCAATTTAATTAAAAATCCACATGGTCTGGTCTGGTATTCGAAACCGAGCAGTGTCATACTCATAAACTTGCCTATAAATGAATATAAGCGCGATAGACCGCTACACCACCATCCCGATGGTATCACACATGTGTAATTGCGTTACCTGTAATATTAATACCCTACTTGTATGATATTGGTAGTTGATTTCAAAAGCTTTTTAATAATAAATTTATACAATTTTTTTATTTTGTTTTCTTCAGATTTTACTATATCCTCAATATACTATTTTGAATATAGTGTATCCAAGAATGGACATAACTATACTTGTAAAGATATTTATTTTAAATTTTTCAAAAGAGGTCTTTTTCATAATTTCTCAACGTTAAAGTATTGTTAAGTCCATCCGTGGACACACTGTAAAATGCTGTAAAATGAATTCACATTATAACATCTATAGAAAGTTACAGAACAACTTTCGGGGTAAGTACCGTAAAAGTGCTAGTGTGATGTTTTCCGAACTTCTCTCTTTATAACTTCTACGACATGTGCTATAAAAGTCTTGCCGTTGCGGACATTCGGAGGTTGCATGGATATTAGGGTTACATTAAAAGTACATCGCATGCGAGCTTAAAGAGCCAAAAATTGCGTAGATGGGATGTTTTTGTGCTAGCTGGGTAATTATTATGCAGGCCGACACCTACATAAGAATTAACTCTGTGTTTAAACATGAGAAGAGGCTACAGAGAAGCGAAGTTTTAAATAAACAAAAATATATTCAATCTAAAATTTTGCAATTTAATAATAATCAAATAAATAGGTATGACTTTGTCAAGTGTATATCTTACAAATTTGGTAGTATTGTTTCACTCTAATTTATTGTTTACATATTTTATTATTAAATAAAATTGAATTTCAAATTGTATATGGTCTTTTTTTCTTTTCCATACCCTACCATTATTTCGCAGACTAGTTTCCGCAGTTCGGGTGTTTTAGATTGTACAGACCAGGTCAAACTATTTTGTTTCCGCAGGTCGGGTGTCGGATTATAGGACCAAATTATCTTTTGCGCAGTTCAAGTGCACCGTCAATTTCATACCTTGATTAAATGCAAGTGCCGGGACGTAGATAACCAGCGGCAACCAAGATAGCATTTTAATTGTAAACAATATCGATCCGAATAATCGGACACTTTTGCTAAACCTCCGTTCGTGATACTGAAATATAAAAAATCATTTAAAACTAATAGCGGTTAACCTTAACCTTCCATGCAACCGAAAATAAAAAAGGAAATAAATAGATCTGTGATAAGAGTAATACCGCGAAGAATAATGAAGAGAAATAGATCATTGTAATGAATATAACATAATGGGTGTCCCGAAAAAGTGAAAAATTTATAAAAGGCGTCAGTTATGCTGCTTTCCTTTGACAGTCAAATCATTATGTCAACAAGCCCGCAACCACCCAAGCATTTAGATGTTGGATCCACAATTATGTCAAACCGTGATTTAAAATTTACTCAAAAGAACTCAGATATACCTTCAAAGCCGAGGAGGGCTTTTACCAGATAAAGAAAAATTCGTACATAATTTCATACTTTATGGTTAAATTAAAATTTAAAAAACTATATTTTATTTGGAATTTAACTTTTAAAATGGTAAAGATTATGAAGATGTCTTCCATCTTCATAATCTTTAGTAAATCAAGTATTTAAAGGCAGATTATTTGAAAGAAACAAGAGAAGAATGTCAAACAGAAGCAATATAATGACAGCAGAAAGAAGAAGATTATAATTTATTGTATAAAAATATTTAAAATACAAAAAAATAAAGCGACTGTATAATACAAACCTCATAGGTTGATGTTAATTCTAGTCCTTGAAAGACTGGAAGAAATATGGATCCCATAAGAAAGGTTGTTATTAAAAATCCACCCAAAATATAAATATATTGGATTCCATAAACATACACCTCTGTAGGAATGCCAAGAAGAGATATGCCACTCACCCAGCTATGAAAATTATACATTTTTACTATTATAAAAATCTTTTCAAATTTTGGAAAGAAAGTACTAGTTAAAGATTGCTAAATCTATAGAATACGAGGCTACGGATTATTTGGTTGATGAATTATAAAAATAAATAAATAAATAAGCTTTGTATAAGCATTTCAATACTTTATGATTTTCTTTAGGAATTTTTAAGATTATGTCTATAAAATTGATGTTTTTAAATTCTAACTTAAAAAATAATCAGAAAACCTTTTATTTTATCTATGAAATATTAAATTGAGATTTACCTGGCTAACAGTGACATAGCTATAGGGATTACACCCATTGATCTGCTGCCTACCAGATAATCCTGAGCAGTTTCTGATTTTTTATATAATGCAAAATACATGCCAACCAATAAACATATTCCTAACATAGACATAAAGGTGATGTAATCTACCCAACCGAAACGTTGCATTGAGATGCCAATCTCTGTTACTGCTGGAATTTTTTCTTGCACTGACATTTTGAGCGTCTAAATTTCTTTTATCTAAAACAAGAAATAAACTTTATAATCTTGTTATCTAGTATTATAAATCCTCTGAAAAAATTCATATTATCCGCTTTTAACAAGACATTGACACTGTTATACTAAATGATATCGTTAACAAAAATATTAAAGAAAAGATGATCAAGATATATGAGTCTTTGGAAACTCCAGAAGTTTCAAAACGTCCGACCGACCTGTGACCACGACATTCAACAAATCGTTTTCTGTCTAATAAGAATGAAACAGATATGTGAGGCTCCATCAAAATCCAAGTTTGTACAGTTTGTTCAGTTTGTTCAGTTTGTTCAGTTTGTTCAGTTTGTTCAGTTTGTTCAGTTTGTTCAGTTTGTTCAGGTTGTTCAGTTTGTTCAGTTTGTTCAGTTTGTTCAGTTTGTTCAGTTTGTTCAGTTTGTTCAGTTTGTTCAGTTTGTTCAGTTTGTTCAGTTTGTTCAGTTTGTTCAGTTTGTTCAGTTTGTTCAGTTTGTTCAGTTTGTTCAGTTTGTTCAGTTTGTTCAGTTTGTTCAGTTTGTTCAGTTTGTTCAGTTTGTTCAGTTTGTTCAGTTTGTTCAGTTTGTTCAGTTTGTTCAGTTTGTTCAGTTTGTTCAGTTTGTTCAGTTTGTTCAGTTTGTTCAGTTTGTTCAGTTTGTTCAGTTTGTTCAGTTTGTTCAGTTTGTTCAGTTTGTTCAGTTTGTTCAGTTTGTTCAGTTTGTTCAGTTTGTTCAGTTTGTTCAGTTTGTTCAGTTTGTTCAGTTTGTTCAGTTTGTTCAGTTTGTTCAGTTTGTTCAGTTTGTTCAGTTTGTTCAGTTTGTTCAGTTTGTTCAGTTTGTTCAGTTTGTTCAGTTTGTTCAGTTTGTTCAGTTTGTTCAGTTTGTTCAGTTTGTTCAGTTTGTTCAGTTTGTTCAGTTTGTTCAGTTTGTTCAGTTTGTTCAGTTTGTTCAGTTTGTTCAGTTTGTTCAGTTTGTTCAGTTTGTTCAGTTTGTTCAGTTTGTTCAGTTTGTTCAGTTTGTTCAGTTTGTTCAGTTTGTTCAGTTTGTTCAGTTTGTTCAGTTTGTTCAGTTTGTTCAGTTTGTTCAGTTTGTTCAGTTTGTTCAGTTTGTTCAGTTTGTTCAGTTTGTTCAGTTTGTTCGTTTGTTCAGTTTGTTCAGTTTGTTCAGTTTGTTTAGTTTCTTCAGTTTGTTCAGTGTATTAATATGCCATCTGTCGAAAGATTTTGAGAAATTTGTATACATTACATCTGTTTAAAAATGATTGTCATTGTTATGTGCTGAGTAATACGAATTAATTTGATTGATCGGCCCTTCATAAAACTATGACGACTGGTGTAGTTCAAAGACTAGGATATTTAATTTTTTATCGGATATATACAAAACGTACTTATTAATTTTGAATTCAATGGACATGGTAAAAGGCTTTTTTAAAAAATATATTATGAACTTGGATGACAGTTGTTTATTAGAATTATTACTAGGTGTTTAAATAATATTTATATTTTTAATTTACTTTATGTTTTACTTTTCTCTATTGGTTAATTTGTGTAAGAGATAGGAAATGAAAAAAAAAAAGATATACTTATATTGCCCATGCTCAGCCTACCGGCTTTAATGGGAAGATAAGTCTTGTTTGTTCTTTATTTCAAACCAATAATTACACCTATATTTTATTTTTTATTTGTAAATTGTACAATTTGTAAAATTTTAAATGAAATGAATAAATGTTATTATTATTATTATTATTATTATTATTATTATTATTATTATTATTATTATTATTATTATTATTATTATTATTATTATTATTATTATTATTATTATTATTATTATTATTATTATTATTATTATTATTATTATTATTATTATTATTATTATTATTATTATTATTATTATTATTATTATTATTATTATTATTATTATTATTATTATTATTATTATTATTATTATTATTATTATTATTATTATTATTATTATTATTATTATTATTATTATTATTATTATTATTATTATTATTATTATTATTATTATTATTATTATTATTATTATTATTATTATTATTATTATTATTATTATTATTATTATTATTATTATTATTATTATTATTATTATTATTATTATTATTATTATTATTATTATTATTATTATTATTATTATTATTATTATTATTATTATTATTATTATTATTATTATTATTATTATTATTATTATTATTATTAATTATTATTATTATTATTATTATTATTATTATTATTATTATTATTATTATTATTATTATTATTATTATTATTATTATTATTATTATTATTATTATTATTATTATTATTATTATTATTATTATTATTATTATTATTATTATTATTATTATTATTATTATTATTATTATTATTATTATTATTATTATTATTATTATTATTATTATTATTATTATTATTATTATTATTATTATTATTATTATTATTAATATTATATATTATTATTATTATTATTATTATTATTATTATTATTATTATTATTATTATTATTATTATTATTATTATTATTATTATTATTATTATTATTATTATTATTATTATTATTATTATTATTATTATTATTATTATTATTATTATTATTATTATTATTATTATTATTATTATTATTATTATTTTTTTTAATATTATTATTATTATTATTATTATTATTATTATTATTAATATTATTATTATTATTATTATTATTATTATTATTATTATTATTATTATTATTATTATTATTATTATTATTATTATTATTATTATTATTATTATTATTATTATTATTATTATTATTATTATTATTATTATTATTATTATTATTATTATTATTATTATTATTATTATTATTATTATTATTATTATTATTATTATTATTATTATTATTATTATTATTATTATTATTATTATTATTATTATTATTATTATTATTATTATTATTATTATTATTATTATTATTATTATTATTATTATTATTATTATTATTATTATTATTATTATTATTATTATTATTATTATTATTATTATTATTATTATTATTATTATTATTATTATTATTATTATTATTATTATTATTATTATTATTATTATTATTATTATTATTATTATTATTATTATTATTATTATTATTATTATTATTATTATTATTATTATTATTATTATTATTATTATTATTATTATTATTATTATTATTAATATTATTATTATTATTATTATTATTATTATTATTATTATTATTATTATTATTATTATTATTATTATTATTATTATTATTATTATTATTATTATTATTATTATTATTATTATTATTATTATTATTATTATTATTATTATTATTATTATTATTATTATTATTATATTATTTTTTTTTTTTTTTTTTTTAATTTTGGTGTCATCGGCGTCGACTACTACGGCCATTCGCCTCGTGTTCTGTGTAGGCTTTGTTACTGTTTCCCAGCGCCACTTTAGGAACAGCACTGTTAATTAGAACCCAACAGTGAATGGTCGAGTGGGGAATCCTACCAAGGCATCAGAATTAATTTTAAATAATTAAATTAAATGAAAAAATCCCGGCCAACGGTGGGATTCGAACCTGAGACCTTCCGATCTCAAAGTCATGACTCTAACCACTGAGCCAACCCACCCCTATTATATTATTATTATTATTATTATTATTATTATTATTATTATTATTATTATTATTATTATTATTATTATTATTATTATTATTATTATTATTATTATTATTATTATTATTATTATTATTATTATTATTATTATTATTATTATTATTATTATTATTATTATTATTATTATTATTATTATTATTATTATTATTATTATTATTATTATTATTATTATTATTATTATTATTATTATTATTATTATTATTATTATTATTATTATTATTATTATTATTATTATTATTATTATTATTATTATTATTATTATTATTATTATTATTATTATTATTATTATTATTATTATTATTATTATTATTATTATTATTATTATTATTATTATTATTATTATTATTATTATTATTATTATTATTATTATTATTATTATTATTATTATTATTATTATTATTATTATTATTATTATTATTATTATTATTATTATTATTATTATTATTATTATTATTATTATTATTATTATTATTATTATTATTATTATTATTATTATTATTATTATTATTATTATTATTATTATTATTATTATTATTATTATTATTATTATTATTATTATTATTATTATTATTATTATTATTATTATTATTATTATTATTATTATTATTATTATTATTATTATTATTATTATTATTATTATTATTATTATTATTATTATTATTATTATTATTATTATTATTATTATTATTATTATTATTATTATTATTATTATTATTATTATTATTATTATTATTATTATTATTATTATTATTATTATTATTATTATTATTATTATTATTATTATTATTATTATTATTATTATTATTATTATTATTATTATTATTATTATTATTATTATTATTATTATTATTATTATTATTATTATTATTATTATTATTATTATTATTATTATTATTATTATTATTATTATTATTATTATTATTATTATTATTATTATTATTATTATTATTATTATTATTATTATTATTATTATTATTATTATTATTATTATTATTATTATTATTATTATTATTATTATTATTATTATTATTATTATTATTATTATTATTATTATTATTATTATTATTATTATTATTATTATTATTATTATTATTATTATTATTATTATTATTATTATTATTATTATTATTATTATTATTATTATTATTCATACAGACACTCTATGCTCAAAACTCTCTTCTCAACTCTTTGTAATGAGACAATTGCGTTCTGCCATTAAGATAAATAACACTTTAAAAACAATTTATTTTGCGCTTATTCACAGCCATTTGTCCTACGGCATTACACTATGGGGACAATCCAGCAGTGCTCACAAGGTCTTTTATATGCAAAAGTCTGCGGTGCGCATTGTGGATGGTGCTCAATATAAAGCAAGCTGCAAAGAGCTGTTCAAGAAGTACCATATTCATCCGCTTCCTTGTATATTTATTTTTGAGTCACTCATTCTAATTCATAAAAATTTGAATAAATATGCAAGACATTCTGAGGTACATCATTATAACACACGAGGAGCGGATAATCTGGTAACTTCTTATAGCCGTATACAGCTAACACATGTAAATAAGTTAGACATAAGGCTCTACAATAAATTTGATAGCTTATTTCCAGCAATAAACATTCAGGGATTATCCTCCAGAAAATTCCACACGTTAGCTAAAAACTTCCTCGTGGAAAACTGTTTTTATTCTGTTGAGGAATTCCTAAATTCTAAATTTTAGCTTTTAAGTTTAAGTTTAAGCTTCTTCATGTGTATATGGACTCCAAATACTGTATTATGTATCAAACGGGTCAATAAATGTATTGTATTATATTATTATTATTATTATTATTATTATTATTATTATTATTATTATTATTATTATTATTATTATTATTATTATTATTATTATTATAATTATTATTATTATTATTATTATTATTATTATTATTATTATTATTATTATTATTATTATTATTATTATTATTATTATTATTATTATTATTATTATTATTATTATTATTATTAATATTATTATTATTATTATTATTATTATTATTATTATTATTATTATTATTATTATTATTATTATTATTATTATTATTATTATTATTATTATTATTATTATTATTATTATTATTATTATTATTATTATTATTATTATTATTATTATTATTATTATTATTATTATTATTATTATTATTATTATTATTATTATTATTATTATTATTATTATTATTATTATTATTATTATTATTATTATTATTATTATTATTATTATTATTATTATTATTATTATTATTATTATTATTATTATTATTATTATTATTATTATTATTATTATTATTATTATTATTATTATTATTATTATTATTATTATTATTATTATTATTATTATTATTATTATTATTATTATTATTATTATTATTATTATTATTATTATTATTATTATTATATTATTATTATTATTATTATTATTATTATTATTATTATTATTATTATTATTATTATTATTATTATTATTATTATTATTATTATTATTATTATTATTATTATTATTATTATTATTATTATTATTATTATTATTATTATTATTATTATTATTATTATTATTATTATTATTATTATTATTATTATTATTATTATTATTATTATTATTATTATTATTATTATTATTATTATTATTATTATTATTATTATTATTATTATTATTATTATTATTATTATTATTATTATTATTATTATTATTATTATTATTATTATTATTATTATTATTATTATTATTATTATTATTATTATTATTATTATTATTATTATTATTATTATTATTATTATTATTATTATTATTATTATTATTATTATTATTATTATTATTATTATTATTATTATTATTATTATTATTATTATTATTATTATTATTATTATTATTATTATTATTATTATTATTATTTATTATTGCTATTATTATTATTATTATTATTATTATTATTATTATTATTATTATTATTATTATTATTATTATTATTATTTATTATTATTATTGCTATTATTATTATTATTATTATTATTATTATTATTATTATTATTATTATTATTATTATTATTATTATTATTATTATTATTATTATTATTATTATTATTATTAATTATTATTATTATTATTATTATTATTATTATTATTATTATTATTATTATTATTATTATTATTATTATTATTATTATTATTATTATTATTATTATTATTATTATTATTATTATTATTATTATTATTATTATTATTATTATTATTATTATTATTATTATTATTATTATTATTATTATTATTATTATTATTATTATTATTATTATTATTATTATTATTATTATTATTATTATTATTATTTATTATTATTATTATTATTATTATTATTATTATTATTATTATTATTATTATTATTATTATTATTATTATTATTATTATTATTATTATTATTATTATTATTATTATTATTATTATTATTTATTATTATTATTATTATTATTATTATTATTATTATTATTATTATTATTATTATTATTATTATTATTATTATTATTATTATTATTATTATTATTATTATTATTATTATTATTATTATTATTATTATTATTATTATTATTATTATTATTATTATTATTATTATTATTATTATTATTATTATTATTATTATTATTATTATTATTATTATTATTATTATTATTATTATTATTATTATTATTATTATTATTATTATTATTATTATTATTATTATTATTATTATTATTATTATTATTATAAAATGAACTATTTTAGTGGCTATGAAATGTTTCACATGCATTGGTGGTTCTCTATATAGTAGCTGATGCTGTTGTCCATATATTGCCTTTTCTGAAATATAATTTTCCACTAAATAATCAGAAAATGCAGCTAATCTTTCGTTGTTGGGCTTTTCTTCTAGGAGTTCAAAACCAAAGAAGTCGCTAAATAATTCAGCGTCTAAAAACATAATTCCAAAGCAGTAACGTAGCCATTTTCCAATATCACTTTGTTTTTATACTCCGATGATAATCCCAAATTTTTAATTTTTCGCCACCATGTTTGACTTAAGTGGAATTATTATCCTTACTCTTTACATATATTAATTAATTTGCGAAATAATTTTATGTAGGTGTCTTCTTTTTTATCTTGCAATAAACAAATACAAGTGGTATATAATGTCAATGACATAGGCCACGAATAGTAAACAATTGGAGAAAATATTTTGTACAATACGCAAACGTCCCATCCATGTAAAGTGTTTTGCACTCACAGAGAAACTTCAAACTAGTTTCAGTACAAAATACAATTAGATTTATTTCCAAATCATTTGTAAGCACAAAATTCTCATTTTTTAAAGTGTATATTATTGTATATTATTTAAAATTTCAAATAACTCTTCGGCACTTGATGTTTTGGAAACTTTTTGCGTTTTTCATAGTAAATTGATTTTTTGATACAATTTAAATCGTTTAAGTTCATTTAAATTGGGTTCAAAACATTTTCGAATAACTTTGCTGGGTTTTCACAAATATCATCAGAGGCCTTTCGTTCAGCAGATGCACTCACTATATGTCTTTGAATAACATTTTCTTCTATTGCTGGATGATTATGTCTTAACACTTTTTCGGTTATTACACGACCACCAGAATCACCGATTGTTCGAAGTAAGGCTTTACATTTTCTATTCACACATACCCACTTAATTTCTCCAGATGCTAACTGCTAACTTTTTGCTGGTTTGATTAAATTTGTACTATTCTATAATTAATAATATTTTTCCACGTTGACTTGTTACTTCGCGAATCGACATGTTTATTGAACTGCTCTTACTACTTACAATTACGAAATAAAACTAACTCATTCATAAATATCAGATCCGAAAGAAAAACTTTCCGGATTCTTTAGTAAGTACAAGGAATTTTTCAATAATGCCTGTTCCTTAGAATTTTATATTAAATCTTTTAACAGTTCCTAGATAAGATTGGATGTTAATTAGGGCAGGTATATTTTTCAATCGAGCACGAGTTAGATATACAGATTATAGAGATTTTTACTCTTTTATCTTTTAAAATATTAGTGAGCACGAGTTGGAATGCGCCCATAATTTGCTTGACACTGATTCAAAAGTAAATAAGATTCAAAGAAATTTACTTACCAAATTTAGACGATCTTTCCTTCGATAAAAAAGAACAATTAATTTTTTAAAAACTTATTTAAGATCTTTCTTACGCACTGATCCATTTACCTGCAAACATCACGCCGAAACTTTAACCACCTGAACCTCAAATAATCACAATGTTTAGCAATAAAAAGCTCTCTCTTTATCGTTTTAGGCGGATGTCGAAGATTTAAACCAAATTGGTCTAATTTAGTACTTCAATTGTGACTGAATAACAATTTATAAAAAATAAAATGCATTTTAAATTGGGATCTCTGATAAGAATGAAAACGAGGAAGTGTTGTAAATCTTCATCTGGCGAAATAAATTCTTTATTACTTGCAATATTTACAGTTATTTATAGACCATAATTAAAGGAAAACTCTCTCATGATTAAAAACAATAGCTGCTGTTACAAGGGACTTTAAAGTCTATAATGAATTTAAAAAAAAATTATAAGAAAAACTTTAAATAAAACGATATATTAATCCTGTTTTCTAATAATGTGCCAAAAAATAGCTGGAAAATCATCAAATTTTACAAGAATGAAAATATTGGTGGTACTAAAAAATATGATTTTTATTGATTAATTTCCAAATTATATCGGAAATCATGAATATTTTGAGAAATATCTCGAGTCTATTCAAGATACTTAGTTTCTAGCATCTTATTTATTAATCTGTATAGGTGGACCAAAACTCTATTTAAATTTAATTTAAATAATAATAAAAATATAAAGCCATTAGAATTCTTCCTTAAAACATGTAAATTTAAAAAAAAATAAGTTCACCACACTTCGTTTTTTATAGTTTGATTCACAAAATCCAATATCGTCATATCCAATATCGTTATATACCATCCTATTCCTGTCTCTGGAAATAAGAAATAAGGTATTATTATTATGAATACTTGAAAACTGTATAGGTAACAGCTCTTGACAATCGTAATGATATGGTATCGAGGTCTACTTTCCATGAAAAATGTCTTACGGTGTATAATTAACAATTATCTGGAAATCCAGATATGAATAAATGAGTAGTTTATTAATTATAGCTTTCGTATCGGTTTCCAAAAGAAGGAAATGGAAATGAAAGGCTTGCCATAAATTTTTCAATTTCAATTTGAACACCTGCTTTTTCAATTCTTTTATATTCTGATTCTTATGGCAACCAATTATTTCAGACAATGGATACTTGATAATAAATTGACTTAAAGAACTTTATTTACATAATGGATGATTTTAATATCCTTACACTTAGTTACAAAACAAAATTCATCCCACCTGGTGTATTAAAAACATGAAAACCTCGAACTTATAAATTCAAAATGGAATATTTTGCTAATACATATTAAAAAGTTAACCAATTAAAAATTGTGATCATGATTTAAAAAATAAATAAATGATAATTGCAATAATTTAAATAGTATATTCAGATAGTAATCGGGAAAAAGAAATAAATTAAGGAAAATTAAATAAAAAAAGATAAGAAACAACTATTTTCGCTGAACTGTGAACATGCTATATTACTGACATTGTAGTTCATTCAACACTACAAAAGGAAATTCTAGAGAACAAAATACAAACTCCTCTTAGCATTAACATCAATATCACAGCTATGAAAACTTCAGAGAAGCCAATAATACCATCGCCATTTATAGAAGTCTTGTTTTGGTCTAAGGAAAAACAAAGATGTTGGTTATAAAAAGGAATAAGGAAAAAAATACCTTCAGTTGTAACTTCAGAATCATGACAGGAATACAACAGAAAAAAGATTATAGAAAAGGAACAAAAGAAAAGAGAAAAGTTTGACAGAAAAATTCAAAAGGAAGAAAAAAGAGAAAGTAAAAATAAATTACATAAAAATAAAAATCTGAAGAAACTAAAAATAAAGTGGGCCGTAAACACTTTTGAACCGTTTAAGTCTCCAGGTGTGGATGGAATATTTCCTGCCCTGCTTCAGCGGGACAAGAAGAATTGCTACCACACATAATCTGGGTATCCTGGAGCAGTCTGGAACTGGTATATATACCATAAGCATGGAGAAGGGCCAGAGTCACCTTTATTTTAAAAATCAGGTTCACACTCTTTGTATTAAAAACAATGGAGAAGACTGTTGATAATTATATCAGAACGGAAGTCCTGGAGAGGGTGCCACTCCATCATAGCCAGCACACGTACCGAGCAGGAAGATCTACAGAAACTGCTCTGGTACAGCTGACTGACGTAATCCAGGATGCACTGACAAACAAAGAAACGGTCGTGTGTGGCTTCCTAGAGATAGAAGGCGCTTTTGACAGCACGTCACACGAATCTGTCAAAAGAGCACTTGCATACAGAGGAGTAGCTAACATCACATTTAGATGGATGGCTCAGCTGCTATCTATGAGAACTGCAGAGACACAGATGGGGCATCTCAATCTGCACAACCAGATAATGTCCACAAGGAGGAGTTCTATTCCCACTAATGTGGAGCCTAACCGTAGACGAACTTCTATTAAGATTGACTAACCTCGGCATACCCTGTCAAGGTTATGCCGACAGCATAGTCATATTTGCTAGAGGCAAGTTTAGAAATATCCTGTATAATATAGTCCAATGAGGACTAGAACATACCAAAAGATGGTGCCGTGAGATGGGACTTAGTATAGACCCTGCAAAAACAATACTAGTAGCCTTTTCGAGGAAAAGAAACCTTAATCTCAAAACCGTTAAATTAGACGGGATAGATACAGAATGGAAAAATAAAGTCAAATATCTAGGCCTAACGCTGAACCACAAACTTCTCTAGAACACATATGAGAAGAAAGTAGTAAATAAGGCTACAAAACGCCCTAACGGTATGCAGAAACATTGCGGGTAAACGATGGGGATGTAACCTAAACCCTCTGCGATGGATGTACACTGCAATAGTGAGACCAATCATCACTTACGGGGCTATAACCTGGAGTAACAGAAGTAGTTTAGCTAATATCTCAAAAGTACAAAGACTAGCCTATGTTTGCATCACCGGTGCAATGAGAACCTGCCCTACGGCCGCAATGGAGGTGATCTTAATAGGAACAGAGTAATCAGACCAAAGTCTACTTACTTCAGGACCAAAGATTCCTGGGATATGCCCCAGGATGAAATGATAAAGAAGTACAATTTTGTGAAAAACTTTAAAACCACAGAGCTGGGCTGCACGAAAGAATGAAGCCAAGAATCCATCGCGCTTACAAACGAAAAAGATACTATTCAGGATGGTTCCAAAACCATAAATGGAACTAAAATAGAAGTGTATGGGCGGAGAACCAAGCACTCCGAAAGCTTAGGAAAATACCCAAGCATTTTTCAGGTGGAAATTCACGCCATCGAGAAGTGTATCCAGAGATTATTAATATAAAGAGATTAAAAAAGAATTGGGTAGTAGAAGAACCAATAATTGGAACAATCTCTTGGGACTGAGATACTTCTGGGCGAATATAACCAGAAAATATTGGAAGCCTGCATCTGGCTGAGCAAGAACAGGCTACGTATTGTAACAGGGATCCTTACTGGGCATTGCTGACTAAAAGGGCACCTCAGTAAACTGAGAGTAGTAGAAGATAGTGAGTACAGATTCTACGAGGAAGAGCACGAAACCTCCATTCACATTCTAACTGAATGTGAAGCATTCCAGAATCCAAGAGCACTATACCTAGGAGCATAATCAAATAGAAAAGAGAGATTTACCTAACTTGAAGTCACTCCAAATCCTATACTTTCTTGAGAAGATAGGATTGGAAGGGTCTCTATAGGCATTGAGACATTTCGTTAGCGACAAAATGGGGCACAATATATATTTTAGGTCGCAGTGTATTAACACCCCATTCCCAACATAACATAATAATAGTATTATGGCTTTAAACTGTATTGACATAAGGAATAAAACATTCACTACAAATGAAAAGAATGTTTCAACAGTTTCTTTTGGTCAGATTTTTGGAATACTAGAAAAACTTGAGGTGGTTTCTATTGGTGAACGTTTAAGAAATGCATTTAAAAGTTCTGTAATAAGTGTTCATGAACTATAAAAAAAATTGTACATATTTGTACTGTCTACATAGAACATGTAAAATAAGAATATGTTAATGTTTACTATAAAAGAACATGTAAAATAAGAATATGTTAATGTTTACTATAAAAGTTTATTTTTATTAGCAATTTTCCCTCTTTTTTAATTATTGTCATCCATTGGTACCATTTCCATACATTGGTGTATTAAAAATAAATTATCATTTTTTTTTTAAATATATTAACTAAATAGAACTCAGTGCATTCAATAACTGAATGTTTGAACAATCGCTTGATTTTTGAATTTTTTTTAACGTTTTTATAAGCTATTTATTTTAGTAAAACTACATCCTTATAATGTCATCTACTGGTATGCATTTTAATCAAATATTATTTTTTATATATATTTTTTTTATTAAAATAATTAAAAAATAAAAGTCAGAAAAAAATTTGTAAACTTTGTGATTTATAGTAGGTCTTTTCCTTTGCATCGAAAGTGTAGCACTGAGCTACACCACTTCTGAAAATATCGTTCCATTTATACAAATTGTATAGATGGAACAATATTTTCAGAAGTGACGTAGCTCAGTGCTACACTGTCGATGCAAAGGAAAAGACCTATAATAAATAACAAAATTCCACTTCAACCATATTCTGGGACAGCCTGTATATTGGTCACGGTCTTCGAGTTCAAATATCACATACTTTGATTACTATACGGTGCAAGAGAGAGAGGTCCGACACGCCCAACATAGGGCGCGGCCATTTTGATTCCTATGCCACAGTTTATAGCTAAAGAATCAGATCGCTCACTCTCCGTCGGCACTTTTGATCTCAATGTTCCAGTTTATACACTGCGCAACTCGGATAATACAATATATGACAACCGCCTATAATAAAACAGCAGTCTTCTGCGTATCCTGAATTTGTATTCCTATAGTGGATGTTATTTTGGAACTTTCAACTGGTCCGAATGAGCTAACTGATTCTTTAGCAATAAACTGTGACTCCAAAAATAATATTTACTGACACTGACAGCAGCAAGCAAAATATCAGGTGTGTTTTAATCGTCCGCTTCTGCTTCCGGAATTGTCGGTTTAGTCGTTTTAACCTGTCAGATTAAAACAAGAAAATCGACAATTCCGAAGCAGAAGCGGATGATTAAAACGCACCTATTAAAAATATTGCTCCAAGATGTAGGCAACACGTAATAAAGGATCAAAATAACGGAGTTTT